CATGGACGCAGAGATGACTTCCTAGAAGTCCACAGGCACCTACGTCGACGAGGTTCCCCCACCTGGGGCGAACATCGTCAGTGGCATGTGGATCTTCAGGGTGAAGCGGCCGCCGGGTTCTACGCCTGTCTTCAAGGCGCGTTACATGATTCGAGGCTTCAGTCAGCGGCAGGGAGTTGACTACTTTCAGACCTTCTCTCCCACCCCGAAGATAACCACTTTTCGGGTGTTGCTGCACATAGCCGCTCAGCGCGACTACGAGCTTCACTCTCTTGACTTCAGCACAGCTTTCCTGCAGGGCAGCCTACACGAGGAGATCTGGCTGCGCCGCCCCCCTGGCTTCACTGGGCCATTCCCTCCTGGTACCCAGTGGAGCCTCCGGCGGCCAGTCTACGGTCTCCGCCAGGCGCCCCGTGAGTGGCACGACACACTGAGAACTACACTTGCGGCTCTTGGGTTTGCTCCTTCTACTGCCGACCCGTCGCTATTTCTGCGCACCGACACCTCTGTTCCGCCGTTCTACATCCTCGTGTACGTAGACGACTTGGTCTTTGCCACTGCTGATACTGTTGGACTCGCCCACATGAAGTCAGAGCTGCACAAGAGACACACGTACACAGACCTGGGTGAGCTGCGCAGCTACCTTGGCTTGCAGATCACCCGGGACAAAGCACAGCGCACCATTACTCTGACTCAGTCACACATGGTGCAGCAGGTCCTTCAGCGCTTCGGCTTCACGTACTTCTCGCCGGAGGCCACTCCTCTGTCTACTCGCCACTCGCTCTCAGCTCTGCCTTCGGATGAGTCCATAGAGCCGAGTGGCCCATACCCAGAGCTTGTTGGCTGCCTCGTGTACCTGATGACCTGCACACGACCTGACCTTGCATACCCTCTTAGCATTCTTGCATGCTATGTTGCTCCTAGGAGACACAGACCAGAGCACATGGCTGCAGAGAAGAGGGTGTTGCGCTAAGTGTGCAGTACATCTGGCATGGGGCTAGTGCTTGGAGGGCGACGTCGAGTAGTCCTCACAGGTCATGCTGACGCTTCTTGGGCTGACGACCAGGCTTTGCAGCGGTCGTCACAGGGTTACACCTTCAGCCTTGGCTCCGGCAGTGTTTCGTGGCGGTCTACCCGCTCGTCTTCTGTTCTTAGCTCGAGCTGTTAGGCTGAGATCTACGCAGGGGCCATGGCTGCACAGGAGCTACGCTGGCTCACCTGCCTGCTGACTAATGTAGGAGAGCCGCCTTGTTCTCCTCCAGTTCTGTACGTAGACAACAAGGCCATGCTGGCCTTGTGTCGGGAGCATAGACTGGAGCACAGAACGAAGCACATTGCTCTCCGCTACTTCCTGGCTCGTGAGCTGCAGCAGCGTGGTCAGCTCCGCCTCACCTACGTGGCCTCTTAGGCCAACAGTGCTGATATCTTCACCTTTCCGCCTTGTGATCATCAGCGCTTATGTACTTTGCTAGGTCTTGTGCCTACCTGGCCTCACTTGCTCACTTCTTGATCTTGCTTGTACTGTATTCTTTCTATACCTGCACTTGATTGTTTACTTTTATATACATGATCTTGCATGTGAACTGGCCTCGTGGCCTTACTCTTGTGCTCGAACTGTGTGGTGACTTTGTGATCCACCATGAGCTTGCTTTGCTTTGCTTGACTGGTCTTGTGACCACTTATTCTCCCCCACTTTGCCTATGGGGGTGTGTCAGAACATTATAGCTTATACATTTGTGTAGGCTGTAGTGGGGTAGCCCATAAGGGGTACAACCCGATTAGGGTTAGTACTTGTACTCAATTGTTTCATAGTTCAATCCTCCATTCTCACTTCTCGTCACCCCTGAGCAGCGTAACAGAGTACTCGATCTGCTGCTGCGCGTCCGCCTCTTGCACCCTGCTGGAAGCGAAGTAGTTGTTTAGCATGAAGAGTTACGTCCGCACGTTCGCATCGCGCTGACTTGGGTCGAACGACTCGGGTTTCTGCGGCTTGAGTGCGCTTCGATGTTCCGGCAGCGCTTCCGCGTCAGTCGACGTGTTGGGTGCACGAGATGGTGATGCATGACCATGAGAAATTGACGCGAATTCACGAAGCTGTTGCATTTCAGCCTGTACCTGAAGATTTTCCCATGTTGTTGGGGAGAGCGTTCATGGTCTCGTCCATGTTGGCTCGTCAACTCAAAGTCTACAAGTCGGCACCGCAGGACGATGACGTCGTAGTCTCGTCATCGACGGTCGCTCGTTGGAAGTCGCTCCCCGCGAAGGCTCCTGATACCAAGTGTTAGGCGCGCTGGCCTAAATCCGCTAAAGATTAGCGGGGTCGACTAAGTCGAGGATAAACGCGGCGGAAGACTTTGGCGAAAGAGAGTGTTGGCGAAATAGGTAAAGAAGTAACTAAGTGATTAATGAGTTGAATGAGAATTGATTGATTATGGCAAGTACAAGCAAGGTTGATATAGCATGCAAGATCGAATGCTAGAAATTACTTCGTGGGACTAGGAAATCTAGGAAGATAAGGATAAGGGTGAGTTGGAAAGTATTGTTCGGAATGAACAGTAAATCCCCCCTTAACATTTGCACCAAGTCTCTGACGCCAATCTACATCATGCGTTCCCTCAAAGCCCATCCCAGTTCCCCACGCAGCATTCGGCCTTGCACATTGTGCGGCGCGATGATGAGCGATAATCGCAAGCGGCTAGATGAGAGAAGGGAGGCTGCTCTCCCCCCATCAAACCCTCAGGACGCGTTGAAAGTGCAAATATTGCAGGATCGTCTGCATATATCGATCCCCACAATCGAGTGGGCAGATTGTTTGGCGAAATGTGGCGACCGCGACCTTGTAACGATCGCGGCTGAAAATTGACAGATTTCCCGCGAACAGTGATCAGTGGCATTCTCACACTGTACAGAAATTTTGGCCAGAAAGCGTACCGTAGCATGGTTACAGCGTAGTTAATCGGGTAACCAATCTGCACATCGATCGTGACTGACGATCGATCGTCTACTTTCACCGCGTCCTCACTCTTCCTTTCGTCAAGCTCCACACAGCCCTCGAAAATCAGTTAGCTGGCGAGCCCCCTTTTCGAGATGAGCTCCCGAACCATTATTGCAGCGCTGTTGTCCATCATTTTGACTCACAGTGAGTCAGACTATGCGCAGTACGCGGCGGTTGTAGCCTGCTTGTAGCACTAGCGGGCGACCACCTTTTCCGTGCTGCGCATTTGCGTGGCGGCGCCATGCTCTTCATTGGCAATTAGCCAGTTCGCCATCTGCTGCTCACCTTGATGGCGATCAGCTAGGCATTATTGCGGCCGCGCTGCCGCCCTCTAACTCCGAGCCGGAGTTTCGCGCACCACACGGTACTAGCTTCACTGTCAGCGTGCTTATCGATAGCTCTCTCCGCATGCTGCGCGTTGTGCGCGGCAGCGCCATGCGAGCAAACGGCGAGGTGCTGCCAGGGAGGAGTACCGTCATGGTGGCCTGCCATCGCAGCTCCCTCCACCACCCTCGCCTCCTCCTTGTTCCTTACTTCAGATCGCCTCCGTTCCGCCACTCACCACCATCTGAGTTGCTTCTCCATCGCGAAAAAGGGTTTGCCATAAAGCTACGGGAATGTTGCAAAAAGGATACTTTTTGGATACCTTGGTTTTGCAACTTTCCACTTATGGTCAAATGTTGCAGAAATGCGGATTGCGAAATTCTTGCAAAAAAGTTGCATTCACGCAACTTTTTTGCAACTCTCCTCCAACAATTCTGCAAACCTGCAGCCACAATTCCGCAACATTCCGCCCAACTTCAAGTCACTAACAGGTTACCGTGCAGTTGCGTGCATGTTGCCGAAAGATCACCTCCATGTTGCCACCGATCAGTTACAACACTGCGCCACCGTGGCAACGACAACCGTACTCGAAACTGATCCCGTACGATGTAGGCCATGAAACGTACACCAACCAGGCTCCAGCACGTGTGTGCTATCTATTTGCACACGGCATGGTAACCGCGCTTCGTCCACGACTTTAATGCATACGCGGACACCGTCGTGCACCACTAGCGCGCATTCGCGAACCTGACAACGCCCAATCCCTGCACGACATCGAACACTACCGTGCGCGTCACGGAGCACACTGTTGGGCCGCTTGTTCCGCACACCACCTCCACATCCAATCATGCCGCATTAGAGCGTAACGCAGTGACATCACTGGATGCCGGGATTGGCTCCAACCGCCGTCGCACGCGTATTTTGCTCCATCGCAACCCCACTGTTTTCCGCACCCTCCTCACACGCCACCCACTCAGCGCGCACTGCGAACACCGCCGGTTAGTTCGCCGCTAAGTTACCCATGCCTCGTACACCCAATGTGCCACTTTGCACACACGCGTCACTCATCCTTCCTGGCTTCATCTGTTTCAGACCGCGGTATTCGCGTCGTGGATACCAACCGTCGATCCCACCGCTGCGCGCCGTCGTACCACCACTCGATCGCGACACGGCAATGTATCCGTTTACTGCCGAATTGTACGTGTTATTGGTAGCTTTGCGCGCTGCATGCGCGCGTATAGCACACCACGTTACGCCACAAATTATGCGCGCTTACAAGAGATTTATTCAATGCCGCAACACACCAGAACATCGCACACATCACACCCGGGTTGCTACACAACACACCGTCGCAAATTATGTCTACACACTACCGCCAAACGCCGTGTTACTACATCCCCACCTCGTCGAACGCTAACCCCACACACGTATATCCGTCTAACATAAGTGAAATACAAAGAGTGGAAGCCCATGTCCATGTACAGGGTTGTGGGACGCCTCACTACCAACTTCAGTCAGTGCCCAAAGAAACCGAACCACCTTCTTCCACGATTGGCGTCCTCTGCGCGTAACGGCCTGGAATCAAGTGCTCTAGCCCGCACGAGGACAGCATCAGCCCGTGCTCCCCCCGTACCCGTGCCTGGGCATCAGCATCGTACTTGGGCTTGAAGTCTTGGATCGCCTACGCCACAGCCCCCTCGGCGACCTGGTGGAGGCCGTTCACCACCTCCGCGTTGCCACCAGCAGAGTTTGATAGGCGGGCCTTGCGCTTGTCCCTGTTAAGAACCGTGTCGGTAACCTGCGTGAAACAACAAACATATCGCACTCACACATCACTCCCGCGCACGGGGGGGCTGAACGAGGATTGAGATGCAACTCACCACATGCTTGAGCCACGCCATCTGGTACAGTTTCACGGTCACCGCTCCTGTGACCTTCTTGGGCTGGAAGGCGGTCATGGCACACGCCGTGAACGCTCCCGACGCAAAGATCATTCCAGTCCTGCTCTCGCTCCTGGTTGACAACGTCAGATCTTCTGCCCACACACATGTACAACGTAACACACCGTCAGTTGATCTACACACACGTCACTACCCTGTATGGTCACACCCCGCCGCATACCGTTCACGTCGTCCAGCACGCGATACCGAAGCCGAACTTCGGCCGCCTCTCTGCGCTTATTGTGTGCCCACGGGCTTTTCCTGTCTTGCTCGTTGCGCCATAGGCCAATGCGCGGCAGCGCAATGTCTCGAACGCGGCCCGTCACCTCTGTCTTCCACTGGCTGAGTGCCTTGTTCAGGTCAGCGCATCGCGCCTTGTCGGCCGCCAGTGCGAGCCCCGCATAATTCATCGTCAATCGTGGCGTGACCCAGCATAATCCCAGCGTCTTGTCGTGGCTGCTTGGATAAAAGGTCATGACATCATTCGCCCGCTCGATGAACAGGAACTCCCGCACATGGTCGCACGTTCTCTGCCATGTCCACGACACAGCACACACCAAGGTTTCCAAGTGGGCAAGAACGCACAAACAGCAGCGCGGCAGACATTACACCACCCGCAATGCATATTTTTAAGTATGTGTCCCCATGTCCTAGAGCGCTCACCTTCCATGCTTTGCCGGACGGCAGGAAATCAAATGCCTCCTGAAGTATGGGTGAGCTCGGCACTGTCATATGGCGCCGCCGGACCACACGGCGTGCCCTCACTGGCTCCGCCTCTGCATCTTCTTCCTCTCCCTCCTCTGATGTCGCGTCCTCCGAGCCCGATTCGACTCGCCTGCGCTTGTGCGGCCGCGCATCTCCCTGCGCCCGTTTCACCCTCGGACCCCTCGGCCTCTTGTTCTGCGTTTCCCTCTCGTTCATGGCCAGCAGCAGCGCCTCCAGCCACGCGATCCGACGCTCGCCCTCGTCTCTTGCCGTTTTCAGCGCGTCAAGCTCGGCACGGCTCATCACGACGGCGTCATCGGCAACCGTCTCATCCCGACGAGATCCACTTGCCGGCTGCGCAGATGCGCAGGGCATTGCCTCCAAGGGGTTGTCACCCACCGGTTTAGGCGCAGATGCCGCAGCCTTTCCTTTTGCCGCGCTAGGCTCTTCGGCCATAACGGACGCAACAGCCTTGGATCGGACAGGCGCAGCCTCCCCTTCGCCATGGCTACCCACATCCTCATCGCCCGCACCGACGCTAGACGCGACCGCCGCATTCGGCGAGACTTGCGATGCACCACCGGCCGCACTAGCCACACCTGAGCGCAATTTCCAAGCAACACATGCGAGTCACATCAGAGCACATGGAAACTCCGTAATGGTGAACATGCGCCGAAAGCAGGGCGGCAAAACCAGCTTGACGCTACTGGATCCCCACTCGTTGTACCTTCTACTGGCACACACTTCTGCTTTTCAACCCTAGTCCGCTTGTACTGGCCCGCGTTGCTCCGCACACATGTCACTTCACGTGTTCGTTTACCGGTCAAGTGATACTCCTTTCGCAGATACTCAAGCAACAGGTGCACTGAGTGGTATGAGTGCAGTACTTTCACGAAAGAAACAGCGGGAAGCACCTGAGTCAAGCGTTAAGGTCTGCAAGGCCTCAGCAGGCGGAGTACCTGAGAGAGCAGACTCACTCGCACCTAAGGTAACAGCCTCTATACCTGGGTGAGGCGGCGCACATAAGTGACAGTCTCCCTCAGCACTAACAGTCAATGCATACATGGCAGCAAGGATAGCATCATAGTCAAGAGGAAGATGTCTACACCAGCCTTAAGCAGCTCATGCCATCGAGGGCGCTCGACCTCCTCGCCCATCTCCTCACGTCAGGCGTCGTCAAGGCGGGAGAAGCAGCGGTGTTGGGTACCGCACACCATGTACTCAAAGTATGCGCATTCTGGCTGCAAGCCATCTCACTTGCAGGTATGCGCACAGTATGTAACGTCTCAATCGCCAAAGGGCGTGCGCAGGTCAGCAGTCTCGTCAGCCAATCAGCGAAGGTATGCTGTTGCATCACCGATCTCAAGACACGCGTTCGACCACTCATTGTATCCCTCGCGATCCTACCCATCCACATCACCCATTCAACTGCCTTTGCAAATATGGCTGTCACAAAAGCGCATATCTGTTTGTATTCGTTAGACAATCTGTGAAAGTCTAGAAGAAAGAAGAGGATTGAACTAGCAGGAATGAGGATACAAATAGCAAACCCTAGAAGGGTTGTACTCGCTATAGAGCACCCCACTACAGGCTACAGCATAAGATAACATTCTGACACACCCCCATAGCCAAAGTGGGGTGTAATCAGCAGAGCAGGCAAAGCAGTACAAGCTCAGGGTGGATCACAATGTCACCACACATTCTGAGCACAAGTTCAAGAAGCAATAGTTTAGAGTTCACAATTATAAGCAAAGCTAGTGGTAGTCACAACGGGCAAGCGAGGAGGAGGAGGGAGAGTGAGAGGAGAGGAGATAGGAGGCGACGCCTGAAGCTGCAGACACACGGGCAACAGGAGGCAGACTCGGACAACGGCTACCGGACGAAGTCCCCGGAATACAGGAGTAACAGGCCCCGCGGCTAAAGTAGCGGCAGATGAGCAACGGACCCACGGGTGGCTGGCACAGCTGGCTACAACTGGGCTACCGGACGAAGTCCCCGGAATACAGGTGCTGCTGGCGACACGACGGCAACCTCCATTCAGCTTCCCCAAACTATCCCACTCCCCCTGGCACACACCCGCTGCTACACCGCTAGCTCCACTCCCACCCACGCACCCCCCTTAAACCCTAAACCCCAGTCTCCCACACATCCACCCCCCTCAGCGACAGCTGCAGCAGTGGGAGACGAAGGAGGAGGAGCAAAGGGAGGAATGAAGAAGTGCCACCCCCATACTCGCCACCCCCTACTTGCCACCCCAAACCCTAACACAGGCAGGGTGGGATGGTGGGTAGGCAGGGTGGGATGGCGGCGCTCGCCCGCAAGCGGCCCCCGAGGGTCGCCTCGACAGGCGACGGGAAAAGGGGCCGGGGCGCAAGTAGGGCGGCGGGGCCGCAGGTGTAGGGCGGCGGGGCCGCGAAGTTGGGGCGGCGGGGCCACGACAGAAGGGCGGCAGGGCCGCGAAGTGGGGCGGCGGGGCCGCGAACGTAGGGTGGCGGGGCCGCGAAATGGGGCAGCGGGGCCGCAAAGTGAGGCGGCGGGGCCGCGACTTGAGGCGGCGGGGCCGCGAAGTGGGGCGGCGGGGCCGCGACGGGTCCCCGTCGCCCATCGCGGCGCCTCCAGAGGGAGACGCGGCGAACGACGGGGCAGAAGCCCGCCGCGCGCCTCGGGGCGCACAGCGGGCAGAGAACCGCCGCGCGCCTCGGGGCGCACGACGGGCAGAAAACCGCCGCGCGCCTCGGGGCGCACGGCGGGAAGAAAAAGCGCCGCACACCAGGGGGCGTGCGGCTCAGCGAGTAGTGGAAGATAGTTGCAGCGGAAGCGAGGAGGTGGTAACCCACCCACAGGATCGATCCAAGGGGATCGACCTCCTCTGATAGCATGTGAAAGTTTAGAAGAAAGAAGAGGATTGAACTAGCAGGAATGAGGATACAAATAGCAAACCCTAGAAGGGTTGTACTCGCTATAGAGCACCCCACTACAGGCTAGAGCATAAGATAACATTCTGACACAATCTACATGAACCCAACGCCCAAATAGACTATATCATGCATGGCGTAACAAAGTAGGAATCACCTAATCTACTTTATCATGACTTGACAAAAAGTATGTATACCTACTCCATCTACAACAGGCAAACAACTGCACTCCACAATCAATCCATCTTCACCGCCTCAGGGTCTTCGTCGAACAACGCCCCCTCAAATGCATCTCCCAGAGCCATCCCCGTCCTAATACCCTCGTCTGCAGCAGCGTCCTCATTGAGTTCATGAGGTGTGCCCCGCCCGGCCGTTCCCTCTGCGTCGCCCAACCCTTCCCCATCCAACTCAATCACCTCATCTCCTTCCTCCACGGCACATCCGGCTGCATCCCCCGCGTCATCGTCTTGCGAGTCGGAGTGCTCGTCGCCGTCCCCTGCTGTCTCCTCCTCCGTGCAGTCCACTAGTGCCGTCTCCCACTCCTGCCATCGGAACCACTGACGGCTCCTAACCAGCCGCCTGACAGCTGCCAACGTGCACCCCTCCAGCATACCCTTCTCCTCATCCGTCAGCTCCACTGTGCCTGACACGCGCTTACCTTCTTTGACCACGTGCACCGCTGCTGCGTAGGCCGTGGCTGCCTCCAGCTCCTTAGTGTACGCACCCAGCCTCATCTGCGTCCGCTTCTTTTTATTCTTCTCCTTGAACAGAATCTTGGCACTCCACCTACCGCGCTTCTCCCTGCGCACACCCTTGTACTGTGAACTACGACCCTGTCCCTTACCCTCGCTCTTGCAAGCAGAAGCGCCGCCCTCAGCATCCGCCCCCGAAGCAGGCGGTTCTTCGCGTTTCCTCTTTGCCGGCATAGCCAGTACCATGGGCCTTGCTCCACATGCATGAGCCACCGCCGGCTCTGCCTGGTGCGTGACGTGCATACTTCCCTCTGTACCGTTTATCGACCACCTCGGAGCGGCAGGCACGAGTAGCGCGCAGGGGCTGGGATGAACCACCCCTAGCTCGACTGTGCCACTGCGTGCACCATCCAGTGCTACGCTCTCAGCAGATCCTCCTTTGTAACCGGGGCTGTCGGTAGTGCAAGGGCGAGCTGCTGCAGGGGGTTGGGGGTGGAGGGTGCAGTGGACCGGCTGCCCCCAGGTGTCGCCGCGCCCCCTTCGGAACCTTGCGCCTGCAAGACGTGTGCAGCTCCTGCAAGGAGCTGATCGACACTGTAACCCATCGCCGCTCCGATGGCGGTGACTACTGCTTTCCAGACCGCAAGATCCCTCTTCATGCCGTAGTGCTCCACCTGCATCCGTGTCAGCTTTGTGTTGTTATCCTCCGCTCCAGAATCCACGACGGCTCCATGTTTGGTGACCCTAGCCGCGGGTTGAGTAGGTACGATCACACCCATCTTCACCAGCGCCGGTATAAGGTCAGAAGCCGCATGCATGCATAGGTCGGTCCGCATGCCGCGCCGGAACTCCGTCGCAATGATGCCCTCCAGATACAGGTACGAGCGCAAATTCTTGAAATCAGTATCCACAAGGACTTTCAAAAAGTGGCATATAAAAATGCCACAGTCGTGTTTGTTGTCCTGCTGCTGCACCTTATGCTTCTGCACGCACAATAAAGGCCACAAAATGCCGTTACCACACGCTGACGTACTGTGTCAACACATCTCAGTTTGGGGAGCAGGACCCACCTTCATGGGAAGCGGCTTCGCATCTCTCAGTGTGTTCACAAGAGTCGTTGCGTCACAGTGAGGGTGTAGGGCCTTGGCGGTTAGTTCCAATAATCTGATACGCAAGAAATCCGGACATGAGTCAGACATTCTGGTAGTGTACTGTCGAATTCACTAACACTGCCACAAAACCATGCAGCATCTTACCGTTTTACGCCATCAAACACCGTAGGGTCATCACGGTGTGTGCCATAACTGTCGAGAAGAATCAGTTCCAGAGGTCCAGTCACTTCATCAGACGTTCCTCCCAGCAGTCGCTTAGGGCACGGAACTATCATAAGCGAGTAGTGTGAGCTGCATCGCATAAAACAGGAACGCGCGTCATATTATTGCGGCGACTCATGCCACCATGAATGAAAACAAAAGCGTTCAATCAACAGCACGCACCTCTTGAAGACAGGAATGGCCAAGAAGTCAACGTCAAACACTCTGGACCCGTTGCCCATAGAGTTGTCAGAATTATATTTATTATAACTGCATGTAGTTCTAGCTGTAGTGTAGTTATTAAATTTGTAGGTGGTGCACCTCTTCATGTGTTCCTTTGCTATATGTACTTCGAATCCTATAGTGAAAACACATTCTCCAATTTCTCTCCTCTAACTCACTCGACATCTCGCCTAGGCAAACCCACTCGATACCTAAGTTCGGGCCTAGGCTACTAAGCCTAGGCCCCACCTTTCTACTGTTAATTACTTCGACTCTCGACATGTTATCGGAGCTGAGTTCGTCCTGGCCTGTGGGCCCGCTTTACTTCCGCTGCTAAAATTTTACGGTCGCGCGCCTAGGGCGCGTAACGATTTTATTCTTTACCTTGTCCCGCCCACGGGCGTGTGACTCCTACCCTGCCCGTCGCGCGCCCCGTGGCACGCGACGGTGCCCTTTATCTGCCCATCGTGCGCCCCGAAGCACACGATGGTGCCCTGCTCGTCGTGCGCCCCGAGGCACACGATCGGGCCCTTTTATCCTACCCGTCGTGCGCCCCGTGGCACTGGCCCGCGACGGGCCTTTCCGCCCCTGCACTCCCTGCTGCCGCCCCTGACCCATCTGCACCGACGCCTCTTCGCCGCTCTGCGGCTTTCTTCCTTCCCACCCCCCCCTTTCTCTTGTCTCCCTGCAGCCATGGGGAGGAGGGTATGGGGGTGGAGGGTGTTGGAGCGTGGGGTCAACTCTCTCCCTTCCCCTCCTCCTTCTTTCAGTCCCACCGCTGCAGCTGCCGCTGGGGGGGGAGGGTGTGAGGATGTGGGTGAGCAGGGGGAGTGGTACCGGGGTGGCGGGTGTGAGGCAACAAGCAGCCGTCCCTCCACCTCTCCTCTCTTCCCCCCTTCTCTGCTGCTTCTGCAGCAGTGTGGGGGAAGGGAAGGAGGAGGGTGAGGAGATGGAGGGGGTAACCTTTCAAAGTTAGCCCGCCTGCAGTACCTGCTGTTGCTTGTTTTATTGCTCGTTGGTGTACCTCTGCAGGTTGTGCTCGGCACTTAGCTATTCCTGCATGCAGTTACGGGGGGATGTCAGAATTATATTTATTATAACTGCATGTAGTTCTAGCTGTAGTGTAGTTATTAAATTTGTAGGTGGTGCACCTCTTCATGTGTTCCTTTGCTATATGTACTTCGAATCCTATAGTGAAAACACATTCTCCAATTTCTCTCCTCTAACTCACTCGACATCTCGCCTAGGCAAACCCACTCGATACCTAAGTTCGGGCCTAGGCTACTAAGCCTAGGCCCCACCTTTCTACTGTTAATTACTTCGACTCTCGACAAGAGTATGGCTTGCCGAAAGTGTTCACGTAGTCGAAAGCCTTGCTGTCGACCGCGACCCAAGAAGTGCCGTTGGGCGTAGTGGGTTGACGGATGCTCAGCAGTCTGCGCGCAGTCAGGCGTTTGTCCAGTCAGGGAATGGGTGACAATCATGGACACAAGGCAGGCTACGACACATCGTCTTAAAAAAACCGACGATATCGCTCACACGTTGTGGAAGTCCACGATCGCGTCGGTGACACACTTCCCGTCAGCGATGGTTATGATGTCGGACGCCTCCACGACACAACCAACGCCATCCGCGTTAAACAGCGTCATCTGCTCCATCTGTTGTGGTTGCTTGGCAGTCCGTAAGCGAAAGACCAGATCGTGCGGTTCGGGAAGTACCGTCTCCGTCTCCAGCTTCGTCTGGTACTGCTGGGCTAGGAGTTTTCTGCCGGCCGAGTCGTTGCCTTCTTTAAGATCTGTGTTGCCGCTGGTGGATTGCCTCCTCCCGCTACGGAGGGAGCGCGCAATAGCAGTGACATCCGTCACGTCTTCGTCGCCCCCTGGGTCGCCCTCCTTAGCACCGCGCGTGGACCTGCCCTTGGAAGCACACTGCTTGTCGCGGGCGCACCTAAGAGGAGACATGTCTACGATCGACGGTCAAGGTCTAGGAAAACTATGCAAATGTAATGAGGGAGTATGCTGGAGTGTCCGTCTTATGCAAAGAAGGTTGATTCAACCTCACAATTTAGAGGCCCCGTTTTGGCGGGACATTGAGGGTGAAAGTGGGCGTTGATGACGAAGTGTAGATCTGAACTACTTGTGGCGCGAACTCGTAAGTGCATGCCATTTGTCGCGTCACCGTGACTTGCACATCATGTCATTGCATGCACTTCGCATATTCGTTATGAACGAATACGATGTAAGCACATTGCATTTTGTGCGTGTTCAAGGCTTACGTGTGGGCGTTGATGACGAAGTGTAGATCTGAACTACTTGTGGCGCGAACTCGTAAGTGCATGCCATTTGTCGCGTCACCGTGACATGCACATCATGTCATTGCATGCACTTTGCGTATTCGTTATGAACGAATACGATGTAAGCACATTGCATTTTGTGCGTGTTCATGACTTACGTGATTCCTAGCAAGTGTCAAAGACCCGCATTGGATCCGATAACCACAGCCGACCGAGCCGAGCGGTGTACTCTATGATTTCAACAATTGTGTCGCATATTTGGGACAGCATCACCTTCATACAAAAAGGTGATCCCTTTATAACGTGCACATAGTGAGTGAAGATTTTTTCGTCACAAAGGTATACTAACTCCGATGACCAAAAGTTAGGGGTTTGCGGTGGTATCATGGGTAGCAACTTTTGTGGGGGGTGCAGAAAAACGTTTCGTGACGACAATAGGCTGCAGTCGCACTTGGCTAGAAGCTCGGCATGCAAGGAGGCGATCCTGGGTCGTGGTAGAGTCCTCCTCGCAGAGGCATATCTGGAGGCCCGTCAGGCGTTTTTCCGCATCCCTGCCCGTTCACCCGCCGCCACTGCCGCCAGCAATGGCACCAGCGAGAGGACAGCGGAGAAGAGACCAGCAGCTCCGACAGCCGCCGAGGTCAAAGCTAGTGATGACAACGACATGTCTACTTGTAGTGAGCAGAGTTCGGACGGGGAGATCTTTGACACTCTCACCGCAATATATCTGTTCATTAGGGACGCGGACCTCTCGCGGCGCGAGGTCAACCGACTGCTGCATATCTTCAGAAATCCGCGATTCAACCTGCGTGCATTGCGTCGCTGGCGCAATTGGCTTGACGTCAGGCGTTGGGGGGAAGCCAGGGCGCCGCCAGACATGATACCGTGGCTGTGCGAGGAGATAGTGGTCAGAGGGCTTCGTGGTCAAACACAGAAGCTCCCCCTGCATTATCGGAACACGGAGGAGGTACGTGCAATATGGTATGAGCGTTATATGTGTCATGAGGGGGTGCTGCATACTGATGTTGATGGTGCACGCACTCACAGCAAGCTTTGACTCCTACGCAGCTCGTGAAGAAGCTCGTGCGCATCTTTGGCGGCGTCAAGGGGTTCGTTACAAAGCCACGGATTGTTGTTGACCCCAACACAAACGAGCGGATTTACTCTGCCCCTGAGACGGCAAGATGGCTGGAAGAGGCTCAGGTACGCGATGATTCTCCAGAGGACATGGCCCGCTGCGCATACGGTTTGGCAGACGTACTCAAGAGCACGAGTGTGTATGTGGCAGAAGGAGGTGAACGACCCATCAGCCTGGGTGATTGGCGTCATTGTCTACAGCGACGGCACCAACGCAACACGCAATGGGCGCAGGCAGGCGTGGCCCGTCCTCATAACGCTGTTCAACATACCTGAGGAGTTGCGCAAGACGGAACCTGGCCATGTTCTGGCTGCTGTGCTGCCGTTCCCCCCCGAGTGGGCAACTTCTACCGAGAAAGCAAGAGTGTTTCAGGAGGCAATTCGGATCATTCTCGGGCCCCTCATGCGAGAGTCTTCAAGGTATGCACCTACTCCGAATTTTGCTACATGTGCTGCGCATAGTAGTTCCACCACCAGCCTTTTGGTCAAACAATGTCCTGATCACCTGTTTCCTTCTTTTACATCCCTCTCGGCCCAGCGCTCCATTAAGGGTGTTCTATGTCACCGATCCACAGGGGGAGCCTGTGAAGGCCGTCCCATGCTTCTTTGGTTACGCTGGCCACTTCATCGAACAGTGCCGCGTCACCGCGACGATGCAAACAGGCACCAAAAGGCTCTGTTGCACATGCTACGAATCTGACGACCTCCTTGGAGACTTGGAGCATGAGGCCACGCCGAGGACCGTAGACTCCGAGATGCATGTGTTGCGCAACATGCTTGCGCCAAGACTGTGAAAGATGCTGAAGCGATTCAGTCCGAGTGGTCAACCCATCCAGTGGAGGTATGTGTGCGCAGGGAGCATTGATGGTGGCGATGTAATGATAAGCTCGCCATCGTACTGTATGACGTGAACCCCTCTCATCCTACTTGCACCACCCTGCAGTGTGTGTTATCGCGGTGGAATTTCTCGGATACTGTGTGGGGCAACCCATTTGGTGCTGCTGTCGCGGACATCATGCACGTGCTGGACTCTGGGATGGCGCTGCACTTGCTGGAGAACCACATCGCTGTTCTTTCCAAGCCAGAGAGGCGAGAAGTCGAGAGGTTAGTCGTATTGTAAACTGGGATATGGGCGGAACATAGAACGCCAATGACGTGAGCACGATGTGAAGTGACTGCATGTGTTTGGGGTTACACAGGGAGGTCCAATGGTAATCCCTCTGAGCACCCCTTCCCGGGCCCTCCACACATCCGGGCGCAAAAAGACAACCAAAGGAGAGACACCAAGTGTTCTATTGCGTCTACCCGGAGGCAGTTCGTACTTCATGAGTGGGGCCAACTACGCAGCCTTCGAACACCGCAGCATGATGCAAGTGATGCCAATTCTGGTGGCCGACAAGTCTGCGCTGCAAGGAGGAGTGGCGGGAGACCTGGCTGCGCTCCGCGTGCGTGCGTTCAGGATGTACGCAACCTTCTACAAGGCGTTTCTGGGTGTCACCGGACACACGGACTCCACTCTCGCCATCGCCCGTGGACACGCCATCAAGTATGGAGTATAATCTAGGCGTAGGTATAGTGGAGGTTGCCTGCGAATGTTCGCCGGAGAGTTGGGTGCTTGCTGTCACTGACCGCATCTTTGATTTGCGTGTTCTTTTTTCCGACGGGACATGGCATGATCCACAGGCTGGTCGAGATTTTGCCGCAGGCGTATCCGGATCATGCATCGCATTGGCACTTTCCAAAGATTCACATGATTGTCCACATGCTGGACAATGTGATCATGCGCGGAATGCCGCACCACTATAGCACGGAGATGTGGGAGCATACCTACAAGGGGACGGTCAAGATCACGGTCAGGGGCAGCAACTGGAAGGACATCCCCCGACGCATCGTGGAGGAGGAGGTGCAGAGAGAGATCTGCAGGGAGGTGGCACAGGACGCGGGTGGCGGGCGTGAGTATGCGACGGCGCTGCGCGAGGTGAGACTGTGCGTAGCATATCCCTTGCATGACGGAATGATTGGTGGACACGTCAATACCGCGTGACTTGTCTGCGGACACGATCGCGACATAGCCATTGCCTTCCACACCCGCAGGCTGTTGAGACGATGAAGCCCGTGCTCACGAGGAAGGGACTCACAATGCGGCCGATGGAGGAGGGAGATGCGGTGATGGGTACCTACCGTACGGCACTTGGCGACCTCATGGATGCGCTACGAGGCAGCATGGTGGCTGCCAAGATCACCGCATCTGAGGTCGTGGTGCGTATACAATGGCAAAGTGTATCTTCCACCAAGGTTGCTGTTGTTGAGTGCTAAGCCCCAGTATGTGTGCGTATGGAGTATACACCCGATGTTGCTCCTTATCCCAATGCCCCACTCATGCAGGCCCACACCGCGGTGGCGATTCCGCGCACCAAAGGCGCTGCACTGGTCCCCAAGGGGGCGTTCATCAAGGCAAGCCCCAAGGAGAAGTGGTTCACTGACTTTGCAGTGAAGTCAGGCAAGAAGGAGGAGTGGTATGCGAAGGCGCTGTGTATTTTCAAGGTGGCAACCACAGAGGGCGACCAGAAGGGGTTTGTGTACGTGCGGTGGTATGAGAGGGCAGGCATATGCCCCCTCACCACCTGCGTGCAGTTGACACCGTCACGCAAGGACACAAGGCACGCAGTGATTGAGGTGGAGAGCATTCTGCGAGTTGTGCACATTTGCCGCTCTTTCAGCAACCCTGCAGTGTTGCTGCTGAACAAGTTTCTTCTGTGTGAGTGATTTTGACGAGGGGGTTTGAGGAGGCGTTTGAGGATTGTGGTGTGCATTTGCTGCAGTTATTTTCACAGATTGATACTCAAACCGTAGACTTACACGCCCTAGTCGCATGATGAAAGACGGGTTGTCACTTGGGCGATCCAGAGACCGACACATAGAGCGCAATGACCGCAACTGTACTGCCGTGGTGTGTACATGCTTATGCGATCGTTGAAGCTGTTATCGGAACACTCAAGTTTCTTTGAATGATGAGTGTACTTATCTTATGCGAGACGATGGGGTATGCTGTATTGCGCACTGAGTGAAACTGCAAACCCCCCTGGGGGGCGTGGTTTGGTGTTGCAAGCAAGAGGTACGTGGCACGCTCGCGTTCCGGCGAGGGACGGAGTGACGGTTGGGCCGTGGGTGTAATCAGAAGGACGCACAACCATTGGTGCGCAGGTTCGTATCATTGGTGGACACTATTGGGGGGTGTACCAAGTGCGATTGCTTTCTTGGTACGGGGTTCCAATGGTAAGCTGATGTGGCACAAGTGTGTCCTCAGATGTTAATACAGAAAGAACCGTGGAGCACAATGAAACCCATGCAGTTGCGGGGATTGTGTTTCACCCAGCGTTGCAGCATACTTTTTTGAAAAAATGGCGTCCCTGGTATCTCTCCTTGAGGCACTGAAGGCACCGCCCGAAAAGGTGTTCACTTTCACGGAGTTTCCGTTAATCCCCACACGGGTGCCGTTAGGCACGTCTGTGGACGAGCGTGAGCAGCTGTCGCGGGAATGGCACATGCCCGCATGCTTTGTGTACAACGCAAAAGGATGTGTCCGCAAACCGCCGATCGTTGTTCTACGACGGGACGACAAGAGGCCTGTACATGAGGGGCGCAAGAGGAATCATGACGTGAAAGTGCGCTACGCAAAGAATGGGCGCTTTTCTAGCGAGGTGAGCGGGTTGACAGGTGGGGTCTGTAGGTTGATCGTCGTTGTTGATGTAACGCAATTTTGGTGGCCGTAGTTTTTTGTCCATGTTGTAACCACAAACATCCGCCGTGTTGTGTGCGCAGTTGTTCACTGAGTTCGTCGACGAGTTAAACGGGGAGTTGCATGCGAAGAACGAGATGGCGGTGGTGCTGGTGCACAACCCTTCGCACACCCTCAACGGGTGTGTGAAACGGACAAGCACAGTGGAGGGGTTTGTCGTGGAGGAGTTAACACGGGTGAAGGTTGTGCAGACATTTGGCGTCATGCCGGCTGCTGCGTTTTCTGCGATGAATGGTGTTGTGGACACATTGAAGGCAGTTTTCCGGACGTGGTTTATGCGAACGGCAGTCACGAGCAAGGAGTGGACCCGTGCGGGCATTTTTCCACGACCGCCGCTGCACGATGTGCTGTACAAGCTGTTCATGGCGTGCAAGTTGACGATGCCGGGGACAATCCAGAGGAGCTGGTGGCGGGCCGGTAGCGTGCCGAAGGGCTGGCTGTCCCGGATGGACAGCTTGAAAGGGAAAGCCGCGGCAGAGATGTTTGACGGTCTGGTGCTGCAGTTGACGAGTCTACAGCTGGTGATTGAAGAGTTCAAAGGCAAGTGCAGCAGCACGGCGTTTATGACGGCGTGGGATTTCGTGGGGTGTGACGAAGGCCTTATTGAGAAGTGGGCGCCAGTGAGAGGTTTGGAGGACGAGTCCGAGGATGAGATTCCGGCATATTTTTTCATACCGGAGGGGCCGCTAATGCGAGACAGCCATAGCTGTCGCCGCGTGAGCCGCATGGTCCATGATGGTTACGTGAAGCAAGCGGAGGCATTGGGTATTCCACCGCGCGACGTGCCAGAGGAGGCCGGAGTGGTGAATGAGGAGGTGGTGAGCCGCCTTCGACGCACACCCACTAAGCGCAACCGGACGGGCTGCTCTAGTGATGAAGGGATCACGTCTGACGCGTCGGATGAGGCAGGCCAATCCCGGAAGGCGGGGGTGCTGTTCCCAGTGGAGGATGACAAAGAGAGCGTCGTACGCTTCGTATAGGGCTATAGGGATGGGCCGCTTTCTCATTGTGGTATGGGGGGGCTGAACATAGGGAGCACGATGCGACGGTGGCGTCACAATGTTTCAGCTAATGTGTGTGTACGGATTGAGAGAGCTGAGAATTGGGCGACATGATTTCCATCTGTTGTGGTTGCTACTCAACAACGAATGCACATCTGTTTCACGTATGTTGCTTTGTCGGTTAGCGTTTAGTAGTTAGCTGATAGGCAGCACACCCTAAGGGGATCGCTCTTGCGGCATTGTACAAAAGCATAACACAAAACACAAGCGAGTGTTCCTTGTATGCGGTGCAAAGGTGTGCTTTTTCGTCGAACCGCGTCAGCAAATGTGCGGGATTACCCGAGCCGCTCCTGAATTTCGACGTTCCGAAGCGCAAACCGCCTGGCATCGGGCTGCCTCTCTGTGTGTGCGGGACTTAGTGGCATTGTGGGTGAGATGCCATTTCAGGTTGTTTTGCGGATACTTTACTGCAGCTTTTGTGCAACTTTCCTGCAACTCTCAGACTTTAACTCGGAAATTGGCCAAACCCTTTTTCGCGATGTCTCAGTGCTCAACAAACAACCGAATCTGATCCTCACCATCGCTCGCACTGCTAATCTCTCTAAAACCCCCGCGCAACCCTCACCATGGCTACCCTTCGCTCCGTGTTCGTCCTCGCCTTGATCCTCGTCTCCCTCCCCGCGCTCTACGCCGCGTCCGCGCCACTGCGGGGCGACGATGCTGCTGCCAGTGGAAGCGCGGCCGTGGACGCAGCGGCGAGGTGGGGCCGCACGCTGCTGAAAGCGAGCAGCGGCTCCGCCGCAAGCGGTGCAGACGTGGACCAGGTGGGTGGCGCAGAGGAGGAGGTGGCCGCGGACGGGCTGGACGAGGCGGTGCAGGTGCTGCTGAGCTCGGATTCGTGGAAGAGCGTCGTGGATGGTATGCGGAGGGAGAAGAAGTGGAGGGCGGCAGCCGGGGCGAAGGCGGGAGGCAAGGCGAAGAAGGGCGGTGTGGATGGTGTCAAGGGTGCGGCGAGCGCGCACAGCAGCGGCAAGGGCAGGAAGGGCGCAGCGGCGAAGATCAACTGGAAGAAGATCCAGGAGGAGGCGAGGAACGCCGTGGTGAGCAAGGCGGGAGGGCTGGTGCAGAAGGGCGACGTCGCTGCTGGGGGAAGCGCAGGCGTGGGCGCGGCGAGGCGGGGCCGCAAGCTGCTGGAAGCGAGCAGCGGCGCGGCTGCAAGCGGTGCTGACGCGGACCTGAACCAGCTGGACGTGCACGTGCGTGGCAAGGAGGAGGAGGACAGGCTGGACGAGGCGGTGCGGGTGCTGCTGAGCTGGAAGAAGATCAAGAACGGGATCAAGAACGCGGCGGGCAAGGCGGGAGGGGTGGCGAAGAAGGTGGTGCAGAAGGGCGGCGTGGACGCGCTCAAGGCGGCGGCCAAGGGGTTCAGCAACGGCGGCTTGAAGGGCGCGCTCAAGGCCGGCGGCGCCTCGTTTGCTAGCACTGCGAAAACCATGGCGTAGAGGGAGAGGGGCGGTGCGCGAGGAGGTTGTGGGAGATGGGCGTAGTGGGAGATGGGCGTAGCGGGAGCAAGGAGGTGCGGGGGGCAAGGCGGTGTGGTAGAGTGTAGCAGGTGGGGCAGCAGCAGCCCAGCTGCTGTGGTGCTGCTCATGGTCGTGAAGATGGTGGTGCTATTGCGGCTGCTGCTACTGGATGCGGATTGCAACTTGCGTTTCTTGGGGAAACAGTAGGCTAGGCATGTGTGAGGGGGGAATGTGTGTTTGGGGGAAGGGGGTGTGTGAGGGTTGGGTTGGGTAGGCAGGGCATATGTGTGCGCAGTTGAAAATGTAATGAGCATGGCTTTCAATGTGGGTCTCAGAACCCAAGAGTATTTCCTTTGCAGCACTGGAACAGTAAAGAAAACTATGGCACAGTCAGGTCAGGGCAAAGGCAGTGAGGAGCAGCAGTGGTAGTACCCCTGGTCATCGAATCTGAATCTCTGCGATAGATGAACCTCCCCCAGACGCACCTCCCCCCACTCCGTGTCCCCATGCTGTGCCACGACGAGGGAGGCATCGAAAGGCATCCGGGCATGGCGATGGGGGCTGGGGGAGGAGCAGAGCAAGGTGAGGAAAGGTGGGGGATGGGAGAGTGGGTGGAACGAGACAGACAGGCGAACAAGGACCGCAGCAGGTTGGGAAACTCTGGTTTCAAGTGATGTTCGTGGTGAGGAAGGCAGACAAGACGAAAAGAGAACTAATCCAGGAAGGTAATGGGAGGATGGAAGATGTTTGCGTGGATTGGATACGATCAGCGATTGGCTGCTGTGCTGCATGCACAACACACGCTTGCGCAGCTGGTGCGCACACACACACCAACCTCTCACCTACCTGTTTTACAAACCCAGATACCCTCCCACACATAATCAATCTCCCACTCCTAATCCCTCACGCACCCATCCAATCTCCCCACAACCACCCTTTCACGAAGGTGGCGTGCACCTGGTGCGAACACACCAGCCTCTCACCTCACCTCCTGCTCCCCTGCACCCTCATCTCCTCGCACATCCACCCACCCCCTCCACACCCACCCTTTCCGGTGGCTCGTGTTCATGATGGTGGCGTGCAGCTGGTGGTGGTGGGGGGGGAGGGGATGGGGGTGGTGTGGTGGAGCAAAAGAAGCGGCGGAATGAGGAAGTTTCGGAAGGGGAAGAGAAGGTCGGGTGGGGGAGGGGGAGAAGGACGGACGGGAAGAGAGAGGAGAGGGGGGGTGGGAGGGGATGTGGTATGGCAAGGAGAAAGAGAGTAGACTGTAAGAGAGATAGATAAAAACAGGAGTTCTTCACTCTAATGAGGTGACTTGCTTCTGACATACTGAACTTTAAAGTGAACACTCTCAAATAAGGTGGATTAGATTTCAAGTCGTCTCAAGTGTCACCTGCTTTCTGAAATGACCCCAAATGTATGACGTCAAACACCCTTCCCCGCCGGCAAGAGCAAGGACGCTGCTACGCCCCCGCATGCTCATCCAGTGGTAATCCACAGCCCACCTTAAGCGGCTGATGGCAGTCCCTAGGTGTGACTAGCCCTGCCTCCCTGCACGCTGCCCTCAGAACCTCTGGAATGGATGGAGTTGGGAGAGGGAAGAAAGGTGTGGAAAAGATGGATGGAAGCAGGGACTGGCCCTGCCTCTCTGCCCTGCCTCACTGCCCTGCCTCACTGCCCTGCCTCACTGCCCTGCCTCACTGCCCTGCCTCACTGCCCTGCCTCACTGCCCTGCCTCACTGCCCTGCCTCACTGCCCTGCCTCACTGCCCTGCCTCACTGCCCTGCCTCACTGCCCTGCCTCACTGCCCTGCCTCACTGCCCTGCCTCACTGCCCTGCCTCACTGCCCTGCCTCACTGCCCTGCCTCACTGCCCTGCCTCACTGCCCTGCCTCACTGCCCTGCCTCACTGCCCTGCCTCACTGCCCTGCCTCACTGCCCTGCCTCTCTGCCCTGCCTCACTGCCCTGCCTCTCTGCCCTGCCTCTCTGCCTCACTACCTGCCTCCTAGCATCGGGACGCAAAGCGTAGATGAGAATGAAAGAATGCTTCCTCGCCTCCTTGCTCATGCCGAGATGCAGGCAGACCTAGTGCAGCGTGGAATGCGTGGCATGCGTGGCGTGGCGTGGCGTGGCATGTCCTGCCAAGAGCACTCACCGCAGACGGCACGGAGGCGGTTGCCCCCATCCACCTCCTGCATGTCAGCATACAGCACATGCGCCTTGGAGGGATGCCCCCGCATGCACTTCTGCACCCAGGGAAGATGAATGGTTGAGGGGTGAGGGGTGAGGGGTGATGGATGAGGGGTGAGGGAGGGGTGAGGGAGGGGTGAGGGGTGAGGGATGAGGGATGAGAGGTGAGGGGTGAGGGTTGACAGGTGGGGAGTGAGGGTTCAGGAGTAAGAGGTCAGGGCTAAGGGATGGGGGTAAGGGGTCGGGACGGGGGAACGGGTTGGAGTTAAGGGGCCGGGGGTAAGGGGCCGCGGGTAAGGAGTTGGAGGTGAGGTCAAAGTTGCATGGCCTGGCTTGAAACGCCCATGTGCCTTGGAACGCCCCATGTGCCTTGGAACGCCCCATGTGCCTTGGAACGCCCCATGTGCCTTGGAACGCCCCATTTGCCATGCAGGCCCCATTTGCCATGCAGGCCCCATTTGCCATGCAGGCACATGGATCCCATCCTGGCATGTGGGATCATGAGATGAGACTAACTGCCGGGCGAATGACGAGCCTTGTTGCGCCAAGAAAGATTGTGGCAGCACGAAATGAAATGAGAGGTGTGACTCACGAGGCCAAGGAGGCGAATGACAAGAGGCGCGTCGCCCAACACTTCTTGCACTCTCGGCATGGCCGCCTGTGAATGGACAGGGGGGGCAGGGGCGACATGGGCAACAGGGAGGACAGGGAGGACAGGGGGGACGGGAGGGAGAGGGGGGACAGGAAGGATAACAAGGGAGTGTGGCACGGAGAGAAGTTGCAAAGAGGGCGCACCACACATACAACACATTCCATAACCACTCATACAGGAATGAGGGACACGTAACCCACCATGGGGCACTAAGCAAGGAAATATGTGCCAAATGGAATAACTTCAACCAGATGATGCGCATTACCATGACATGTATATCAGCTGGTCAATGGTTACAGATGACTCACTCATCCCCCCTCACCGATTGGGCTCAGACGATCTGTCACAAGTGACATAAATGAATGAGTTCAAGGAGCCTCGATCATTCCCACAGCGCACCTGCAGGGCGTCAGCGGCTGCTTGCACGCGGAGGGGCGACCAGAGCTTGAGCATTTGCACGGTGAGGTGGAAGGTGGCTGGGTTGATGAAGATGGACGGGTGCACGCCCCCTGGTGAGCCGTGGGTTGGGGTGGGGGAGGGGGGATGGGATGGTGGGGCGCGGAGGGATGGTCAGCTGCTACCAGTGCAAAGAGAAACCCTACATACAAGCTGCAACTATAATTCACTCACTGAGAGGCACATACAGGGATGTGCATCATTCGCTCACTCTCTCAACCACTCACTCACCATACTTGTCCTTCACTCCCTTCCCTCTCTGACCACCTGGCTGCTGCTCCCAAGACTTTTCCTCTCCGCTCTCCCTTTCTTGCCCTGCAACTGCCGCCCTCTCTTCTTCACCACCCTTCCCCCTTGCAGCACACACACAAGACTCGCCGCCAGCAGTTGTAGCAGCGGAGGCATCGCCAACTGCAGCACCCACTGCTGCAGTAACAGGATCGGCAGCAGCAGCAGCGGCATCGTCACCATCGCGCACTCTCTCCCCTCCTCTTCTCACACTTCCTCCTGTTCCCTCCTCTCCCCCACTCGCATCTGCTCTCCCTTCCCCTTCCACCGCTTCCTCCCCACAGTCTTCTATCCCTTCCCTCGCCCCGACTGCTGCTGCACAATCATCCTTCACACCTTCTCCCTCCACATCGCCTTCTCCCTCTCCCTCCCTTATTGTAGCACTACCATCAGCATCACCAGAAGCATTGTCACCACCATCAGCAGTAGCAGCATCACCAGCAGCACCATCAACACCAGCAGTGCTACCAGCAGCAGCGACAGCTGGCGCTGTGAGGTGCTCGTGGGTGGAGGGGAAGCCCACCGATTGCAGCAAGGAGGAGCGCAAGTCACTGAGGCGAGCCACCAGCGGGCGGTGCGAGGCGAGGGGGAGGGAGAGGAAGTGCGAGTAGCCCACTGCAGGGCTGTCGATGGCCTGCCGAGGGGACAGGGGACACGGGCAGGGGGGCGATGTGAGAGGCGTTGAGAGAGTTGCTTGTCTGTAGGGAGGGAGAGGAAGTGCGAGTAGCCCACTGCAGGGCTGTCAATGGCCTGCTGAGGAGTGGGAGAAGGGGGGGGGGGGGGGATGAAGACATGGGTGGGAGCAGCGGTGAGAGAGGGCTTGCATTGAGGGAGAGGAAGGGCGAGTAGCGCACTGCAGTGCTGTCGATGGCCTGTCGTGGGTGGGGTCGGAGGTGGGGAAGATTCGGGTGAGAGAGGCGGTGACAGAGGGGACCTGTGAAAGGACCTATGTGTTGATGTACCTACATGTTTGATCAATACAAGTACCGTTTGACAGAGGAAGCTTTAAGTTGACACAGATATCAGCTCGCGACTGCAGGGCTGTCATTAGAATAGACTGCCGGGGGGCATACGACATGGGTGAGAGAGGCGGTGAGAGAGGCAGTGAGAGAGGCGGTGAGAGAGGCGGTGAGAGAGGCGGTGAGAGAGGCGGTGAGAGAAGCGGTGAGAGAGGCGGTGAGAGAGGCGGTGAGTAAACGGTGGGTTCTCGATGGCGGCACATTTCAGATATGCGATGCTCGGCTATCACCAAAATCTGCACTATCGCCTGAATTTATCAAAGCAATAGCTGGGTCTCACACCTTGCATCCCCTAAACCACCTCGCATTCCAATTTGAACCAACCTGACCTATCACCTGAGCTCACCTGGCCTATCACCTGGCCTATCACCTGGCCTATCACCTGGCCTATCACCTGGCCTATCGCCTGGCCTATCACCTGGCCTATCACCTGGCCTATCGCCTGGCCTATCACCTGGCCTATCACCTGGCCTATCGCCTGGCCTATCACCTGGCCTATCACCTGGCCTATCGCCTGGCCTATCACCTGCGCTCACCTGTGCGAGCTCAGTAGCAAGAAGGTCCAGTGCTGCTGTTACTGCTTCCTCACTTGCACCTGATATCTCTGAGGCACAAGGAGCAGGGGGGAAAGAGTGGGGAGGAAAAGAGAGGAAACGAGGCTAGAAACAGGGGCATGCAATGGTATGGTGCCACTGACTGGACGAGTGGACGAGTGGCAGGCAGCCCACAGCATTGGGCCACTCAGAATGCAGTAGGCAACTCTACATTGTAGTCTGGACTCTAGAGCCCCTAAGTTGCCCCTGGATCTTGAGGAGCCTGATGAATCAGCCTGTCTGTACCACTCCCTGAATGAAATGATACTCCAGTTGGCGCCCCTATATTGCCGTCAGCATAAACCCTAAACCACTGTACGTATGAACCAAAGCATGGAAAGGCACGGCACGGCAGGCATGGGCATCTCATGACATGGCAGTACCAAAGACAGCATGAGGTTGAGTCCTCTTGTTGAAGTGTGTGGGTGCCTTCACCACACATGATGTCGCCTGGGCTATGCTGCTCAGACTGCTGCACGGTGTAAGGCAAACAAGAGGCACATGAGACACACGGTGGGAGGATGGAAAGAGTGCATGGAGTACATGATGGGGGCAGTGAATGGAGGGAGGGAATGGATCGGGAGTGCGTCCAAGAATCGCTTCACTTCTCCTTCACTGCAACAGGTGTTGCAAGGGCAGGTGATGGCAGCAGCGTGGCAAGGGCAGGTGATGGCAGCAGCGTGGCAAGGGCAGGTGATGGCAGCAGCGTGGCAAGGGCAGGTGATGGCAGCAGCGTGGCAAGGGCAGGTGATGGCAGCAGCGAACAGCCAAGGGAAGGGGGATGGCGTGGCAGGGGTGAGGGCTAGAATGAGGTGCCTGGGAGGGATGTACAAAAGAACGCAATGCATGGTGGATGTCACGCGAGACACACACACAATAACGAGAAGGATGGAGAGCAGGAGAGGATTGCAGATACACGGTTGAAAGAGGTTGTTGGACGGAGCATGGGCGTGTTGGAGAGATGGTCAATGAGAAGCGTGTATCTTACTCGTTGCGTGAAAATAAACCAACCAATGCTCCGTCAACCTGGGGCATGGCATGGGCATGGCATGGCATGGCATGTCATAGCATGGCACGGCATGGAACGGCATGGCACGGCATGGCACGGCATGGAACGGCATGGCACGGCATGGCACGGCATGGTACGGCATGGGCATGGCAGATGGTAAGAAGACAAGGGAGAATGTTAAAAGGGGCGTTACGCAACGGTGGCTAAAACTGCTGGTAAACCGCATCCAACCACCCCTTGCAATTTCACATCCTCACAGCGTCCGCACCTTCACTTGCATCACAGTCGTCCCGTCGCTCTTCACTTCCTTTACAATCACACTCGGTGTGCCATACAGCCGCTCCACCTCCCCTGCTGTCATCCGCACAGCCCCCCCTGAACCCCCTCCCCCTCCCCTTCCTCTTCCTCCCCTTCCCCTTCTTCCCTCTCCCCCCCGTTTCCCCCTTCCGTATACTCCTTCTTCCCCCCTTCCTCCGCCCCCTTCCCCTCGCTCCCCTCCCTCCCATGCCTCGAATATTTCCCCCTCTCCCTTTCCCCCGCCCCCATCCCCATTCCTCCGCCAGGTGTTCCACTTTCCGCCCCTCCCACTTCCACCCCACCTCCCCCTCCCATTCCCCCTCCCGCTCCCGTTCCCCCTCCCCCGCCAGACACCAGATCCCGCGCCAGTTGGCTCAGAGATTCCCGTTCCGCCATCCTCTTTGCCGGGCCCCCGCTCTCTCCGCGCATCCCCCCCACCCCCGCCGCTAGATCCCGCCATCGGCGAGTCCCTCGGTGGCGGAGCAGCAGCCATAGCAAGGCGCTTTTCGCACGGAGTGGTGATTGTTCTTGTGCGAAAGGTGACGAGCTTCTGGCGAAACGAGGATTCACGACGAAAACAAAAAGTGACTGACGGGCTGTGTTCACGAGCGCGCAGCTTTAGCGCGGTCGTCAATCGAGCTGCGCCGATCGAATATACGGAACTATTGCCTATTTCGCGTGTAACCGTGTCGTCGAAGATTGGTCTAAAGGTTAATCGTTTTCGACGACCTCGAGTCGCCACGCGCGAAAGTAAGGAAATTTCCAATGGATATGCGACCGTCGCGAAAGGAGCATGGCGGTGCGACACTATGCGACGAAGCGATGACGTGGCGGTCGCCAGTCTACCGTCGCAGACAGGAATGATTCGGAATCCTGTTACTTTTGTCGACGATAAAGAGTCCCGCTGCTTGGTCAGAGCGCGAACAAAATATGTGTACAGTCCGTGGGGCATCAAAGTATTCTGCTAGGCTCGCTTCCCCATGTTTCAGAATTCGAGTTCGACATGCATCACACGAAGCTGGAAATTGACGTGCTACAGTTCAGTTTGGTCTACAAAGGTGGAAAGAACAAAACGTTCCTCACCGTGTATTAACGCATTGAACCGCGCAGACGAGCCCTAAACAGCCATCGAATATTCAATTCGAATGTAAAATTTGAGTTTCCCACTTTTGAGCTCACATCACATGTCACACTTGCCTGAGCGCTGGTGTCTAAGAGATGGTCAATCGAATTTCATTGAGTACGGTTAAGTGAGCTTCATGACGTTCTCGCACGGTTTTCCTGATCTATGAACGGTTCATTACGGTCCTTCGAGATTGGACCTCTTCGTTCTGGAGACTTAAAAAACCTGACCAGACTAAATCCTGAGTTCGGGTCTTCTCAACCAGCTAACTGGCTAACCTAGCTGGTCGCCAAGGGGGTCAGCGAAGTGAATTCGATCACCGCGCTAGTTAGCCCGCGGGCTATCGGCGTAGCAGTAGTGACTGTAGTATGACCATGCCGCCTGGCCGGCCTATAGTTTCCGCGTGCTGACTGTTTGAGGCGACAGAATGAAATCGCCATCACCAGTGCCCGCACCCATATCCGCATTTTAACCGCCTGAAGGGACTGATTTCTTGTCCGCCATGCCGGGTGGGCGCGCCGTCCGCGTGCTGAACGTGGCGGAGAAGCCGTCCGTCGCGCGCGCCGTGGCGGAGATCCTCGCGCGGTACGGCGGCGGCGGAGTGAGGTCGCGCGAGGGGCGGTCCGTGTACAACCGCATCTTCGAATTCACGTGAGCGACGAGCGGCGATGCAGGATGCGACGCCATGCGAAGCGGCGTGTGCTTCGCCATGGCGACGTTAGGTTGACGCTCGTTGGGTCTAAGTTCCGGGCGCGTATGGCGGCTGAGCCCATCCCTCCCTCCCCCTTGGCTACTGGAGATTGAAAAGTCGCGTGGAAATGCACCTGCATCCCCCATCATCCCCATTCCCATCCCCATCCCCATCCCCATCCCCATACCCGTCCCCGTCCCCGTCCCCGTCCCCGTCCCCGTCCCCGTCCCCGTCCCCGTCCCCGTCCCCGTCCCCGTCCCCGTCCCCGTCCCCGTCCCCGTCCCCGTCCCCGTCCCCATCCCCATCCCCGTCCCCATCCCCATCCCCATCCCCATCCCAATACCCGCATCCTCATGCCATGTGGCTATCATGTGAGCAACTTGGCCATCCGCGTTATCAGCCGCTAGCAGCCACTAGATGAGCAACTCGTTCAACCATGCAGGACTTCGCCAAAGCCGGTTCTTGAGATCCTCATGAGCCGCCTGAAATTGCCTTTCTTCATTCAACAGCTACTTTATGATCAAACCAGCCATGTGCCATGGCGGCAATGACTGACTAGTAATGCTGAACTGAAACGTCATTCTGCCCCGTCATCAGCTACACAATGAACAACCAGCCGTGTGACATGGCGATGACATCAGTGACGGGGCATTTGATGGAGATGGACTTTCAGGACCCCTTCAGGAAGTGGCACGCCTGCGACCCCCTGCAGCTCTTTGACGCCCCTGTATACAAGGCCATTCCGCAGGTGGGAGGGTCTGCTTGGCTGTTTGTTAAATCCAGGCATGGGTGGTATAGGGATTGGATAACGGAATCCTCTTTGTGGAAATGGCAACCCCTGCAGCTCTTTGACGCGCCCATGCACAAGGCCATACCGCTGGTGGGATGGGAGGGTCTGGCTGGCTGTGTATTAACCCCCAGGACGGATCGTAAGGAATGTCCTTCAGGAAGTGCCACACCTGCTACCCCCTGCAGCTGCCTGTCTATAAGTCCACACCGCAGGTGGGAGGGTACAAGGACGTACCACACTCGCGGGGGAGGTGTAACGCTGTATAACCCCAGGTGGGAGGGTACAAGGCCATACCACTCCAGGTGGGAGGATACACACGGCCGTATGTAATCCAGATGTGGTTTCATTGTGATCTAGATGCGGTTTCATTGTACATTGAACCTTTACATCTTCTTCCATATGCAGAGCTACATCGAAAGCGACACACGGGTGTTAATGCTGCTCACCGTTTCGTCCGACGTCTCAAACACTGGGGAAGCGTTCAGAGCACCAGAATTTGGTGCAAATGTCAACACGTGCGAGCTTGGTCCTGCCAGGCGAGATGTTCGGCAGAAAGGACCAGCAGTGTCGATAGTTCGTTCAGCCGAACATCTCGCCTGGCAGGACCAAGCTCGCACATGTTGACATTTGCACCAAATTCTAGTGCTCAGAACGCTTCTCTAGCGTTTGAGACGTCAGGCGAAACGGTGAGCAGCATTAACACCCGTGCGTCACCTTCAATGTAGCTCTGCACATGGACGAATATCAAACGGTTTTACGTACAATGAAACCACATCTAGAATATGTGCGGCACTTCTGTGCGAGCATTTGCTTCTGTACGTGCATGTGCTTTCAATGCATTCACGTGCTGCTAACGGAACTGTTTTTTGGTTTAACCGGAGCAACAAGCACCAAGCGTCAAGCCTTCAGGCCCCATTCCTATAGCAGCTTCTCCTCCATTCACCAACCACCCCTTCCTTACCCATATTCTCATTCCTGTGTGTCCTCTCCACATCTTCGCATCGCCTCCCTTCACTGCTCTGCAGGACAAGGTGGCACTGGAGGTGTTGCCTTGTCTTCCAAGTTTCCATCATCACCTGCCATCCCCCTCCACCACCCCGTTCCCCCATTCATCTGTAGGACAAGGTGGCACTGGAGGTGTTGCCTTGTCTTCCAAGTTTCCATCGTCACCTGCCATCCCCCTCCACCACCCCGTTCCCCCATTCATCTGTAGGACAAGGCGGCACTGGAGGTGACGTTGAGGGAGGAGGCGAGGCGCAGCGAGCAACTGGTGTTGTGGCTGGACTGTGACCGGGAGGGCGAGAACATCGCCTATGAGGTCATGCAGGTGTGCGGTGTGCCTTGCCTTGCCTTGCCTTCCCTTCCCTTCCCTTCCCTTCCCTTCCCTTCCCTTCCCTTCCCTTCCCTTCCCTTCCCTTCCCTTCCCTTCCCTTCCCTTCCCTTCCCCATTCTTATCTTGGAAATACGGCAGCACGACTGGCCATATCACAACGTCCTACATTTTGCATAGCTTGTTGTCTCTGGCTCTCAGCCTCTCAAAATCCTCACTTTTCTAGCATGTGATGTTTTGTGAGAAGTCGAGAGAATGGCCTTATCCTAATGCCTTGCACGAGTGCAGGTGTGCCTGGCTGCTAATTCGCGCCTGGCTGTCTTCCGAGCCCACTTCTCAGCCCTTGTTGACAGGTGCCCTTCTCACTCATGCTCCTTCCCTCACAATTTATCTGCAAAGGCTTGTATGCTTCTTTCTTTTGATGAATAGTTATGGGGACCACAACTTTGTGCTTGCCGCTTCGATTAAATGAAGCTACATACACGCACAGCTGTTCGCATGTCAATGGATCGTTGCCCTTCCCAAGCCAAGACTGTGGGCACGTTCCTGAGAAGACCCTTGCTCATTCTTGGTTTGTGACGCGCCGCCTACTACCCTTAATGATTATGATTTAAAGCCACCCTCCTTTGCCACGTGGCACCCTGTTGTCCAATCAGAGACATCCATCATGCGGCTCAGAACTTAGGCCGCCCGAACTCCAACTTCGCAGACGCTGTTGACGCTCGGCAGGTAGTGGATGGGCGGGTAGTTGATGGGCGGCAGGTGGTTGATGGGCGGCAGGTGGTTGATGGGCGGCAGGCGGTTGATGGGCGGCAGGTGGTTGATGGGCGGCAGGTGGTTGATGGGCGGCAGGTGGTTGATGGGCGGCAGGTGGTTGATGGGCGGCAGGTGGTTGATGGGGGGCATGCGTTGACCACTCACACACAGCCAACCGGGCACTCACTTACACACTCACTCACCTCACCCACACACTCATGCATGCACTCGCCCACACACAGACACACACATCTACAGACTTACCCACATACCTACAGACCCACTCGCACCACCATGTCAGGGGATATATTTTTGCATTGTTCACGCTCTTCCATATATACTCTTGTCCGTCTTATCGTAACTTGTATTCTCTTGCCCGTCCCCCCTCCCCTCTCTCCCAACCTGTTTCCTTCCCCTCTACCTGCCGGTGAACCCCAACCCCCCCCCCCCCCCCCCCTCACACACACTCCCCACACACTCACCTCCCGCCCCAACCCCCCCCCCCTCACACACACTCCCCACACACTCACCTCCCGCACACCCATCCCTGTCAGGAGATAGATCTGCGCATAGGGGCGTCCTTCACGCGCTTCCAGACCATGCTGCTGCAGAACCGCTTCGACCTGCCCTCGCCCTCCGCCGACCGCAAGCCCGTCATCAGCTATGGACCCTGCCAGGTGGGCCCTGGGCAGGTGGGACCTGGGCAGGTGGGTGGGACCTGGGCAGGTGGGACCTGGGCAGGTGGGACCTGTGGGCAGGTGGGACCTGGGCAGGTGGGACCTGGGCAGATGGGACCTGGGCAGGTGGGACCTGGGCAGGTGGGACCTGGACAGGTGGGGTCTGGACAGGTGGGACCTGGACAGGCGGGGTCTGGACAGGTGGGATCTGGACATTTGGTACGTGCACTGCACCGACGATAAATGTCCAGTAGGTGAGACCTGGAAAGGTGGAACTGGTGAGGCGAGCGAGGCCTTGTTGTCGCGACTTCGTTTTGATCAGTTTGCCAGCTGTGCTCTCCTGCCCCTCCTGCCCCGCATCTTCCCTCTGTTCTCTCCCAATCCCTCTCATTCGTCCTCCTCCCCTTCTTCCGTCCTCCTCTTCCATCTCCCCTCTCCTCCCCGCCAGTTCCCCTCCCCACGCTGGGCTCTGTGGTGGAGCTCTTTTGGGGCATACTGGCGCACGAGACGAGACTAGAGGAGTCTTTCTTCCTTCTCCTTGTTCTGTCTGCCTACCTGTCCCTTACTTACCTGCGTTTTTAGCTCCTCATCCCTCCTTCATCCGCCAGTTCCCCACGCTGGGCTTCGTGGTGGAGCGCTATTGGGACATACTGGCACACGTGGAGGAGCCTTTCTGGGCCATCCACTGCCGACACGTGCAGCACTCGCCGCCCCCCGCCACCTCCGCTGAATTCTCCTGGCAGTAAGACCCAAGTCACAAATCTATGTGCCGTTTCTTCCCTGTTGACCTTGTCTCCTCCACGCACTGCATCTGATGTATCTGTGGAGGGGACATAATTGCGTTGGTAGCTTGCTTGTACAAGGTCGCACTGTGGAAATGTACAAGCAAGCTAGGGCGTTGGTGCAGTTAAATCTTTACCGGGGGACATAATTGACGAAAAACAGGACATATCCCTCTGCTCAAATTTCCAGCACCTGCTGACACAATGTGTTCTTTCTACCTTATACTGGTTCTTCTATTTCTGGTGGATCGCCAATCCCCCTCTTGTCCTTGTTTCAACTTCCTGCCCTGTTCACACCCTCTCAGAAGTGAGGGAGTTGGTGGGGTCCTTGCCAAGGTAGGGCAGTACCGCGTCCCACCCATCACTCATCACTCATCCCTCCTCCCTTTCTCTGCAGTACTGCGTCCCACCCATCCCCATGACCACCACCTCTTCCCCTCACCTCGCAACACTCTGTGTGGTTGTTCTGGCAGGAGGGGCCGTCTGTTCGACCACCACATTGCTGCCACGCTCTTTGAAATGTGCCTCGATAACCCTGTTGCCACTGTGAGTGAGCATTGCTTTAATTATTTTCTCTGCCCCTGTTCCGCTATACTATAAACCCATCCATCCACCACATCCTACCGCAGCCTCACCGCAGCCTCACCGCAGCCTCACCGCAGCCTCACCGCATCGAAGGTGCCTATGATCCTTTCACCACACATCCCCCTCTCCATTTCGGCTACACAGCTCCTCTGCACCTGTTTTGCATCATGCCATTCATCAGTCCCCACAGTGCGGCGGCCCACATGCACCCCTCTCCGTAACCTGCCACTTCCCCTCTCACATGCACCTTACCCATGCCACCTCCTCCATACCCACGTCTCAGGCAACTCAGGGCCTCAGGCATCTCAGGGCCTCTGGCATCTCAGGGCCTCAGGCATCTCAGGGCCTCAGGCGAAACGTGGCACTTGTTTTTCCCACAGCTCCCATTTTCCTTTCCTGCATCCTTCACTGTCCCTGTAGCTTCATTTCTCCACGTCCCCGCCCTCCATTGGCAGGTGATGGAAGTGGCAGGCAGTGAGCGGTGCAAGTTCCCGCCCTTCCCGCTCAACACAGTGGAACTGCAGAAGCGAGCCTCGAGGTTCCTGCGCATGGCATCAGAGCACACCATGAAGGTGATTCGTGCGCATGGCATCAGAGCACACCATGAAGGTGATTCGTGCGCATGGCATCAGAGCACACCATGAAGGTGATTCGTGCGCATGGCATCAGAGCACACCATGAAGGTGATTCGTGCGCATGGCATCAGAGCACACCATGAAGGTGATTCGTGCGCATGGCATCAGAGCACACCATGAAGGTGAATGCTCGTTGGGTGTCATTGTCATGTGGACCCTCCATTCATGGTGGTTCAAATTCCTACTTCATGCTTCTCCTCCCAGTAAAAGGGTGCTGCTGCCCCTCTTCCCTTCTCATGTTCATCCCCGTCCCACCTACCATTCGCTTATATTCTATCTTGCTGGTAGAGAAGTGCTAAAGAGCTGTAGCAATCTACACTTTCTTTTAGTTTCATATCATTAACAAAATCATCCGTCCTTTCTCGTTTACCCCGATATGCATGCAGATAGCAGAGGAGCTGTACCAGCAGGGCTTCATGAGCTACCCTCGCACTGAGACTGACAGCTTCCCTCCATCCATGGACCTTCAGGTACGTGCATTCATTCAGGAACACATGGGCAACAAATATCCCTGCAATACGCGACTCGACTCACTCGTGAGCAGGATCTGATTCGAGGCTGACTCGCGATGGCTTGGCGTAACTTGGGTTGTCCTTTGTGTGGTTCAGTTCAGGGCAGGTGCATAGCCTTAAGTGCACTCAGATTAGGTACACTTCAGTGCTAATCGATGCTGTGCTGTGCTGTGCTTTTCTGCATGTAGTTTCCATTCTTCCCAACCAACTCTGTTCCTTCCCCCCATCCACCGTTTCCTCGACCTCATCGCCCGTCTCCGCAGCCCTCACTCCCCATCCCCATCTCCTCAACCCCCCATCCCCCATTCCCCATTAACTCCATCCCCTGATTCCCCTCAACTTCATAGGTCCTGGTATCAGAGCAGGCCAGCAACAGCGCATGGGGAGACTACGCACAGCGATTGCTGGACCCAGCAGCCAATCTGTGGAGGACACCTGGCAGCGGCGGGCACGATGACAAGGCGCACCCCCCCATCCACCCCACCAGGGCGTCGCCACATGGCGAGCCCAACTGGAGCCAGGATCACAAGGTAGTGTGGTGTGGTGTGGTGTGGTGTGGTGTGGTGTAGTGTAGGGGTGTGATGTGATGATGTACGCATGGCATGCCTTGCTGTGTTGACAGCCTCAAGGCGCACCCCTCCATGCATCCACCCCATGAGGGCGCGGCGCCGGGCGCCGGTGCATGGGCAAGAGAAGTGGAGCCCGAAGCACAAGGTACGTGTGGGTGGAGCCCGAAGCACAAGGTACGTGTGGGTGGAGCCCGAAGCACAAGGTACGTGTGGGTGGAGCCCGAAGCACAAGGTACGTGTGGGTGGAGCCCGAAGCACAAGGTACGTGTGGGTGGGATGGCGGAATTGAAGGCCTGCTATGTCACATCTGACGAGCCTCAATGGAGGAAGACTGGCGAGCCAACTGGAGAGAGTCCTCGTGGTTCGTGATCACAGCTTGAGTACAGTGTGTAAAAAGAATTATCACAAGTTTGTATGCTTTCTTCTGTCGAGTGCCTGCTCTCTCACCATGTACCAACCTGCATCGTTGATGGCATGGCTTCTAGTGCCAGTCTCACCGTGCCAGCAGCAGCTACCAACATCATCTGGCAGCTACCAACATCACCTGGCAGCTACCAACATCATCTGGCAGCTACCAACATCATCTGGCAGCTACCAACATCATCTGGCAGCTACCAACATCATCTGGCATACTGTTGAGGAGGAGGTGTCTTACAACGTTTCCTTCTCGCCCTTTGTTCGCTCCCCATTCCCTTCCCTTCCACTCATCGTTGCTCCAATGCAATGTCCCACACAGCAGCACCACCGGCACCCACACAATGTCCCTCCAGCACCACAATCTCCCCTCTCCCCTCCACTCATCGCCTGTACGAGCTCGTGGATCGCCACTTTCCAGCAACGGAATCGCAGCCAGCAGCACCTTCACCTCACAGCACAACTTCCCTCCCCTTTCCCCATCCCCCTCCCCCCTTCCCCCCCTCCCCCTCCCCCTCCTCCCATCACCCCCACTCAGCGCCTGTATGAGCTCGTGGTGAGGCACTTCCTGGCGACGGTATCGCAGCCAGCAGTGGGTTTTGAGACGATCGTGACCGTTGATATCGCGGGGGAGGCGTTCAGTGCACGCGGGCTCATGATCACAGCGGTGAGCTGCCACAGACGCTAAGGTTGATGATGTTTGTGGCCGGGAGTCAAAGCACACAAAACATGTATTTTCCCCTACCCTTTTCTTCAAATTTCCCCATGGCATTGCCTTGTTGACGTCCCCTCGTTAATTCTTCTCACACATCTTTCCTTCGTCTCTCAAATCTCCTGTATTTTCAGGGTTTGGTTTTCCTCCTCCCTCCCTTCCCAGTGCAACTGGCTGTGGTGGTAGGTAGTACGCGAACCTCCTGGTGCGTGCGTGCACACAAGCCACACAGGTGCCGGGACGACTCGAATCTCCTGGGGCGCGCACAAACCAGTCACCACCTTGCTTTCTGAGATGTGGCACATGCACCACTCCTCATTCATCACCTCCTCCTTTCCTCCCCTCCCCCACCCAAGCACAACTACCTGGACGTCTACCGCTAGGACTCCTGGGGGGCACACACAAGCAAGTCAAGTGCAGTGCAGTGCAGTGCCAAGCCGGCCGGCGCATAGCAGCACACCCATTCATAACCCCCTCCTCCCCTCCTCCCTTTCTCCCCTCACCACCCCCCTCCCCCCCCAGCGCAACTACCTGAACGTGTACCGCTACGACTCCTGGGGCACCTCTGTGATCCTATCCCTTGCTCCTACTCCACCACTCCTCCCCTCCTCACGCCCCTCTCCCCCCGCCACCAGCGCAACTACCTGGAATGGACTGGACGTTTTCTGTTGCGAGTCTGAGGAACTTCCTTTGATCCGATCCCTTGTTCTATTCCTTTCACTGCTTCCCTCCTCCCCCCCCCACACAAGCAAGTGATGTGTCGACACATAGCGCTCAGACCACACGCATTCATAACCCTAAACCATAAATCCTATACCCTTGCCCTTATCTCCCCCCTAGCGCAACTACCTGGACGTGTACCGCTACGACTCCTGGGGCGCACACACGCTGCCAGCCTTCCAGACCGGCCAGCAGTTCACCCCCACGGACCTCGAGCTCAGGTCCGGACGCACCGAGCCTCCGCCGCTGCTCTCCGAAGCTGACCTGCTGGGGCTGATGGACAAGGTGGGTAGGCGGGTGAGTGTGTGGGTGGTGGGAGGGTGGGTGGGCGGGCGGGCAGGCGGGTGGGCGGGTGGATGGGTGGGCGGGCGGGCGGGAGGGCGGGCGGGCGGGCGGGCGGGTGGGCGGGCGTCAATGTACTGCTCGTTGATCCCGGTTAATGGCACCGCGAGGTGCATGTGAGATGACTGGTGGCTGAAAGCCACGGGGCATCCTGTGTTGACTCGCCCAGGACCGTGTCAAGAAGCTGCTGGACCGCTGCTCTTGTTGCGCTGATGCCATGCGTCTACGTAACTGAGCTGGCACCCATGTCACCCCCCCACCCCATTGGCAGGCGGGCATCGGAACGGACGCAACGATGCATGACCATATCAAGAAGCTGCTGGACCGCTGCTATGCCACCAAGGACGCCAACATCCGCTTCAAACCCACGCCTCTTGTGAGTTGACCCAAGAGAGAGTCAGAATGACGTGCCGCTTTGCTTCTAAGCCGACTTCCAAACACGGGCAGTTCATGTCAAGGGGCTGCTATGCCACCAAGGACGCCTGCATCCACTTCAATCAAGCGCACACCCCTCGTGAGTTGGTGTGAGTTGGTGTGAGTTGGTGTGAGTTGGTGTGAGTTGGTGTGAGTCGGTGTGAGTCGGTATGAGTCGGTGTGAGTCGGTGTGAGTCGGTGTGAGTCGGTGTGAGTTGTTGTGAGTTGGTGTGAGTTGGTGTGAGTCGGTGTGAGTTGGTACGAGTTGGTGCTTCTGGGTCAACTCGTAATTTTATATTGCTCTCCGTTCCTTCTTTTTTCCTGTTGTTTGCTTCTCTGCGAGGTTCCCATGCTGCTCTGCGGTTTGAGCTGTGTGCGTGTGTTTCCACTTGCCTTTGGTATGTTTGCGTCCATTTCCATTCCATCTCTATTGCCCAACACAGGGTGAGGCGCTAGTACTGGGGTATGACAACATGGGGTACGAGCTGTGGAAGCCGCACCTTAATGCAGATCTGTGTGCAAATCCTATATCCTTTTCATATTGCTTAATACAGGGCGAGGCACTGGTTTTGGGGTACGACAACATGGGGTACGAGCTGTGGAAGCCGCACCTGAGAGCACTGATGGAGAGAGACATGCGGCTGGTCAGTGAGGGGCGCAAGAGCAAGGCGCAGGTGCTGGCCGACACGCTCCGAGCCACCAAGGCTGCTTTCGTGGACGTGAGTGCCGTCTAGTGCGGATTGTTAAATGGCAGCGCGTTTGGAAACCATGAAGTATTGTAGCTGTGTCCAAGAAGCATGTCTGTGACAAGCAAGTGGGCAATGGAGGTGTGACGTAACGAGTGATTTGGTCAACGTTAAACAGCAATCCGTGCTTATGCATACAGATCGAACAACCGAATCGGCAATTTGGTCCACGCAAACCGAATCAGACAACCAGTGCTTCCATAGTTGGCGGTTCCTCTTTGGAGTTCTTATTTGTTAATGTATCAAGAAGATTGTGGAGCAGTGTTGCTTGCTGTTCACTCCGTTTCCATCACAATGCCTTTCTTTCCCTTCATTCCTGTCCATCTCGCTTCATCTTCCTTGCATCACGAACCTCAGTGCGTCTCCCCTGCCCTGATACGACTCCCCTGCACTGATACGACTCCCCTGCTCTGATACGACTCCCCTGCCCTGATACGACTCCCCTGCTCTGATACGACTCCCCTGCTCTGATACGACTCCCCTGCTCTGATACGACTCCCCTGCTCTGATACGACTCCCCTGCTCTGATACGACTCCCCTGCTCTGATACGACTCCCCTGCTCTGATACGACTCCCCTGCCCTGATACGACTCCCCTGCCCTGATACGACTCCCCTGCCCCACGGTTTTCCATGCTCTCCACGTTTTCCTTGCAGGCAAGGGAGCAGCAGCAGAAGCTGATTGATGCGCTGGCTCTCTTCTTTGAGAGGTGATTGATGCGCTGGCTCTCTTCTTTGAGAGGTGATTGATGCGCTGGCTCTCTTCTTTGAGAGGTGATTGATGCGCTGGCTCTCTGCTTTGAGAGGTGATTGATGCGCTGGCTCTCTTCTTTGAGAGGTGATTGATGCGCTGGCTCTCTTCTTTGAGAGGTGATTGATGCGCTGGCTCTCTTCTTTGAGAGGTGATTGATGCGCTGGCTCTCTTCTTTGAGAGGTGATTGATGCGCTGGCTCTCTTCTTTGAGAGGTGATTGATGCGCTGGCTCTCTTCTTTGAGAGGTGATTGATGCGCTGGCTCTCTTCTTTGAGAGGTGATTGATGCGCTGGCTCTCTTCTTTGAGAGGTGATTGATGCGCTGGCTCTCTTCTTTGAGAGGTGATTGATGCGCTGGCTCTCTTCTTTGAGAGGTGATTGATGCGCTGGCTCTCTTCTTTGAGAGGTGATTGATGCGCTGGCTCTCTTCTTTGAGAGGTGATTGATGCGCTGGCTCTCTTCTTTGAGAGGTGATTGATGCGCTGGCTCTCTTCTTTGAGAGGTGATTGATGCGCTGGCTCTCTTCTTTGAGAGGTGATTGATGCGCTGGCTCTCTTCTTTGAGAGGTGATTGATGCGCTGGCTCTCTTCTTTGAGAGGTGATTGATGCGCTGGCTCTCTTCTTTGAGAGGTGATTGATGCGCTGGCTCTCTTCTTTGAGAGGTGATTGATGCGCTGGCTCTCTTCTTTGAGAGGTGATTGATGCGCTGGCTCTCTTCTTTGAGAGGTGATTGATGCGCTGCCTCTCTTCTTTCAGAGGTGATTGATGCGCTGGCTCTCTTCTTTGAGAGGTGATTGATGCGCTGGCTCTCTTCTTTGAGAGGTGATTGATGCGCTGGCTCTCTTCTTTGAGAGGTGATTGATGCGCTGGCTCTCTTCTTTGAGAGGTGATTGATGCGCTGGCTCTCTTCTTTGAGAGGTGATTGATGCGCTGGCTCTCTTCTTTGAGAGGTGATTGATGCGCTGGCTCTCTTCTTTGAGAGGTGATTGATGCGCTGGCTCTCTTCTTTGAGAGGTGATTGATGCGCTGGCTCTCTTCTTTGAGAGGTGATTGATGCGCTGGCTCTCTTCTTTGAGAGGTGATTGATGCGCTGGCTCTCTTCTTTGAGAGGTGATTGATGCGCTGGCTCTCTTCTTTGAGAGGTGATTGATGCGCTGGCTCTCTTCTTTGAGAGGTGATTGATGCGCTGGCTCTCTTCTTTGAGAGGTGATTGATGCGCTGGCTCTCTTCTTTGAGAGGTGATTGATGCGCTGGCTCTCTTCTTTGAGAGGTGATTGATGCGCTGGCTCTCTTCTTTGAGAGGTGATTGATGCGCTGGCTCTCTTCTTTGAGAGGTGATTGATGCGCTGGCTCTCTTCTTTGAGAGGTGATTGATGCGCTGGCTCTCTTCTTTGAGAGGTGATTGATGCGCTGGCTCTCTTCTTTGAGAGGTGATTGATGCGCTGGCTCTCTTCTTTGAGAGGTGATTGATGCGCTGGCTCTCTTCTTTGAGAGGTGATTGATGCGCTGGCTCTCTTCTTTGAGAGGTGATTGATGCGCTGGCTCTCTTCTTTGAGAGGTGATTGATGCGCTGGCTCTCTTCTTTGAGAGGTGATTGATGCGCTGGCTCTCTTCTTTGAGAGGTGATTGATGCGCTGGCTCTCTTCTTTGAGAGGTGATTGATGCGCTGGCTCTCTTCTTTGAGAGGTGATTGATGCGCTGGCTCTCTTCTTTGAGAGGTGATTGATGCGCTGGCTCTCTTCTTTGAGAGGTGATTGATGCGCTGGCTCTCTTCTTTGAGAGGTGATTGATGCGCTGGCTCTCTGCTTTGAGAGGTGATTGATGCGCTGGCTCTCTTCTTTGAGAGGTGATTGATGCGCTGGCTCTCTTCTTTGAGAGGTGATTGATGCGCTGGCTCTCTTCTTTGAGAGGTGATTGATGCGCTGGCTCTCTTCTTTGAGAGGTGATTGATGCGCTGGCTCTCTTCTTTGAGAGGTGATTGATGCGCTGGCTCTCTTCTTTGAGAGGTGATTGATGCGCTGGCTCTCTTCTTTGAGAGGTGAACCCCTCAGGCCCACCAGACCAGGCCATGCTCACACAGGTACTTATTATCATGTTCCCTAGTCGCTTGAATGCGTGAGTTTCTTTTGATGCATTTCCTTTGACACATAAGCTCCAACCAATCCCACCAGAGCTTGTTATCTTGTTGCTGCCTGGGCCACTTGTGACTGTTAAATCACGTTACCACCACTCTGCCTCCCACTTTACACTCCCACAGAACCAATCAAGCAGCAGATGGAGGGGGGGGGCAGGGCGGAGGAGGGGGAGGAGGTGGGGGAGGAGGGGGAGGGGGAGGGGGGCAGGTGGTGGGGGCAATGGGGCCGTGCCCCAAGTGCCGCACTTCGCACCTGGTGTTGAAACAGCGACCGGTGAGTTTTACCCTCAAGTCGACTCGCAAGCCACATGAGTGTCAAGCAGCGAACGGTGAGTGAGTGGGTGGGTGTTGAGTCGACCTTGTGAAGCAAGTGCCGCACTGATGTTGGTCTCAAGCAGCGAACACCCTCCCCTTTCCCATCCCCCCCCATCTCATCACCTGCGTTTTACATCCTCACTCTTTCGTCTGACGAGCCAGACACACGTGGTTCTGTGAATGCGTGAATTCAAGGCTTTTGCTTCCAGGCTTTCCCTCCTTGTTCCACTTATCAGCTCCTTCATCTCCCCTTGTGTGCATTTCTGCTTCCCCATCTCACATCTCTTCCCATCATCCACCCTCTATCCTCCATTCTCGTACCATTTCCTTGGCTTCCTGGTTTTCCCTCCTTGTTCCACTTATCAGCTCCTTCATCTCCCCTTGTGTGCATTTCTGCTTCCCCATCTCACATCTCTTCCCATCATCCACCCTCTATCCTCCATTCTCGTACCATTTCCTTGGCTTCCTGGTTTTCCCTTCTTGTTCCACTTATCAGCTCCTTCATCTTCCCTTGTGTGCATTTCTGCTTCCCCATCTCACATCTCTTCCCATCATCCACCCTCTATCCTCCATTCTCGTACCATTTCCTTGGCTTCCTGGTTTTCCCTTCTTGTTCCACTTATCAGCTCCTTCACATCTCCCCCAGTCTTCAATCCTTCTTCCATCTCAGCTCTCTCCATCCTCCATCCTCCATCCTCCATGCTCCATCCTCCATCCTCCATCCTCCATCCTCCATCCTCCATCCTCCATCCTCCATGCTCCATCCTCCATCCTCCATCCTCCATCCTCCATCCTCCATCCTCCATCCTCCATCCTCCATCTTCCATGCTCCATGCTCCACCATTCTCGTGCCGTGCTCCTCCTGTGTTCCATCCTATGTGCAATCAGGGTGGCAGCTTCATGGCAGGGTGCTCCAGCTTCCCTCTTGTAAGCTCCCACCCACTCCCTGTACCTCTGTTCACCGCCTCTAGACCACCACTCCACATGTATGCATAGGCTGATTGCAAACACCGAGGGCCGTTTCTGAGCACGGGTTGATCTGTTGAGCATTAGATGAGTGACGTGGGGATTGACTACTTTGTGGGATAAACCCATGAGCGGTGTTTCACTGACTTTGAGCCGACTCAAGAGTCAACTTTGTGGGACAATCCAACCAACGAGCACTGTTTCGCTGCGGCCCGAGCATTCATTACTGAACGAATGCTGTGAGACGCTTCACTCACTGTGAGACGCTTCACTCACTGTGAGACGCTTCACTCACTGTGAGACGCTTCACTCACTGTGAGACGCTTCACTCACTGTGAGACGCTTCACTCACTGTGAGACGCTTCACTCACTGTGAGACGCTTCACTCACTGTGAGACGCTTCACTCACTGTGAGACGCTTCACTCACTGTGAGACGCTTCACTCACTGTGCTACAGTCACTTGATAGCGCATCCTCCGTTATTCTCTGCCCTGACATCCTCCTCCCGCCCCCTGTAAGCCCTTGTTTCTCTGCCTATCCCCCTCTCTACCCCTCACTCCCACCTTCACCACCCTTACTCCCCTCTCCACCGTCCCCCACTCCCCCTCACAGTGACGAGAGGCTGTATGAATGCCGTCTGCTCTGGTTGACGTGAATTTTTTAGTCGGTCCTGACATCATTCCACCATTACCTACCTTCCCCACTCCCTCTTTCAGTGTAACGAGGTTGTCTGGATGCCGTCTGCTCTGGTCGACATGACTTCGGAGTTGACTCGACTCTTATCTGTCCCACCCTCCCACCTCTAACCCGCAATTCCAAACCTACTTTCCCCACTCTCTCTACCTCCCCCTCAACCTCCCACGGTGTCGACTCTACAATCACTCCCCTCTCCCTCTCCACCTCCCCCTCAACCCTCTCGCAGTGCAGAGAGGCGGTGTGGATGCCGTCTTCTCTGGTCGAAGCTACTCTTTCTGACTCACACTGCCCCAACTGCCGCCCAGGTACTGTTGGCAACTGCCGCCCACCCTGCCAACCAACTGCCGCCCAAGTAGTGCTGCCAACCAATTGCCGCCCAGGTATCCCTGCCAATTAACTGCTGAAGATATCTCTTCGTCCCACACTCGCTTCAGAAGTTGTCCCAGTGCGTTACAAATACACCACCATCATCCTATCCCCACACTCCATCGCTCCTCACCTCTCCCCTTCCCCCCTTGCATGCCTCCTGCACTTCCAGAGGCTCTTCCGCCATTTGAGGCGCCTCAAAAGTCGCTTCCAGAGGCTCTTCCAACAAGAACCTTTTTGGTCATTCTACCTGTCACCTGGATTCTGTACTGACATCTCTGACTAGCATTCTGTGCGCATCCCCGCAGGCCCCCTCTCGTGTCTCAACCTGCGCTTCCGCCGCTCTGAGATCCCGCCCCAGTTTGACCCTGTGCAGCAAGCAGGTGAGGGAGGTGCTGTGAGGGAGGTGTGAGGTAGGTGAGGGTGGTGAGTGTGTTCGTAAGCAAGCGTTTTTGAAGTCTTTTACTGAGGAAGGTGTGGTGGTTGTGTGGATTAGCCAGCATTTATTCTGTAAGAGATGTTTATTTTTTGAGGCAGCAGCACGTCGGAGGAAAGGCATAGCTCATTGAACCTGCATCCACGTCTTCCCCTGTTGTAGCATACAGCGTCTTATAATCCACTCTCGGAAACTGTTAACCATCTCGACCCCCTTTATCCCTTTACTTCGAGAACCTTACACTTGACTACATATATTTTTTCTCTCTTGTCACTGTGTCACCCCATCCCGCATCCCCTCTACAGTGTGCATCATTTGCAACCAAGACTTCAAGGACCTTCTAGAAGCTTGCGGTTCATCCCGCCCCTCCGTCGCCACGCACCCCCGCCCTCCCCCTCCCACAACATCACACGCACCACCATTCGCCAGTGCTCGCCCCTCCTCCGCCCCTCCCTTCCGAAACCCCCCCGCCACCTCTGCTTCAGCAGCACCACCACCACGGACAGCCCGTGGCTCGGGCCGAGCCTCGGCTGCAGGCTCGGGGAGAGGAACCCAGGGCCGAGGTTCGGCAACAAGTTGGAGTACCAGGTCCGGCCGAACCAACGGCCAGGGTCAGCAGAGGGGTGGAAGGGGGAGGCAGGGAGGTGTGGGGGCACAGAGGGGTGGGGGCGGCAGGGGAAGGGGTGATGGGGGCGGGAGAAGCAGCAGCAGAGCGGGGCAAGGGGGAGGGAGGCGTGTGGTTGGGGCGACTGGTGAGAACATGGGCTTTGTACGGTCTAGTGAGGTGACTCAGGGTGCTGGTGGTGGTGGTGGTGGAGGGAGGGGTGGCGATGCTGGGTGTTACACCTGTGGTGATCCGTTTCACTGGTCACACGAGTGTCCTCTTAATCAGTAAGATGCTCCTTCAAGTGCTCACTTCAATTTCAAGTGTATATAGTGTTGCGTATGATTCTCTCATGTGCTGTAACCTTGTGGCAATTTTTGTGTACCGTACCATCTTGTAACTCGGCAGAGTGGATTCTATTCAAATGTCTTTCGCAACAAAAACTCAGACAGGCAAGAAAAACATTCTTTTCTAATGCACATGAGATCACATATTGGATACATGTGGTGTGGGATCACAGACTGACCAAAGCAGCACATTCCACATGCCCACCCAATCCTAACACACACACACCCCCCCCCCCCACCACCAGCCCCCCTACACACACACACAAGCACACCCCCACACACATCCCTACTGCCTCCCCGAGCATACAGCAAGTAGCAGCATACAGCAGCGGCGGCGGCAAGCAGCAGCACACCACCACCACGACCATCAGCACTCCGCCTTGCCTCTCGCGCCTCCCATCCCCTCTCCGCTACACCACCTTCGTTTTCGCGGTGTGTGCGAGCGAGCCACCGGCCGCCGACACGGCGCCCTTCACGCCCTGGCCACTGACGTACGCGTTCACGCCGGCCTTGATCGCGCTCACCCCGCCCTTCTCCACCGCGTTCTTCACCAGGCTCCCCGCCTTGCCCGCCGCATTCGACGCTGTGTTCTTCATCTTCTTCCAGATCTTCTTCAGGTTCAGCAGCACTCTCACCGCCTCCTCCACCCCGTCCGTCGCCTCCCGCACCTCCCCCTCCTCCTCCTCGCCACCCACGTGCACGTCCAGCTGGTTCACGTCCACGTCAGCACCGCTTGCAGCCGCGCCGCTGCTCGCCTCCAGCAGCTTGCGGCCCCAACTCGCCACGCCCACGCCTGCGCTTCCCCCAGCAGCGACGCCGCCCTTCCGCACCTGCTTCTCCGCCAGCCCTCCTGCCTGGCCCGCCGCCCTCCTCTCCGCCGCCCTCCGCAGATTATTCCTCACCGACTCCCACGCACCCGAGCCAATCAGTACCCGCACCGCCTCGTCCAGCCCGCCCGTCACCTCGTCCTCCTCGCCACCCAGCTGGTCCGCGTTGGCACCAGCTGAGGCACCACTTGCGGCGGAGGAGCCCCTGCTCGCTTCCAGCAGCTCGCGGCCCCACCTCGCCGCCGCGTCCCCGGCAGCAGCAGCATCGTCGCCCCGCGGCTTTGGCGCGGACGCGGCGTAGAGAGCGGGAAGCGAGACGAGGATCAACGCGAGGACGAACACGGAGCGAAGGGTAGCCTCCTGAAATTACAGGTATGTAGGACTCAACTCACAATGCACTCGTTTTTAGGTACAGTGAATATTTTTGAACCTCGAGACGTGTGTTGGCACTAAAAACGAACTAGACATCTCCTAATGGCTTCTGGTGCTGGACACATAATTCGATACAATGTGCTCCAATGTCAAACGACAAGTATTTCTTTTTTGTAATTGAGGCATACATTGATAGGGCTAATGTATACAGCAATAGCTGTTGTTATGAGCGCGAGGGTAGGCGCCATGCACTGGCCAACAAGAAATCTAGGGAGGTAGGAAGGTCTTCCTTGGCTTTGTTCCAAATTGCTGCAAAGTTCGCCGACCAGGCCCTCAGATTCATTTTTAGGCACGTAAGGGTATCAGGGTCTCTCTGCCTAGAATCCCTGATCGACAGGGTCGCCTAGAAGAAAAGCCTGAAAGTTCAGTGTTACTAGAAAAAAAAGTCTGATGCATCAGTGTTCACTACAAAAAAAAGGCTGATAGTACTACCGTCATCGCCCAGATATAAAGCATATATGTCTTATCTTATACACTAAAAAAATGCTTGGGTCATCTTGTATTTGGGGAGGTTTTGGGTCTCTTATAAGTCTTATAAATAGAAACCTTTTAAAACTACTTAGAAATACTTTCACGCATCTTGAAAAGAGTTTCTCATCAAAAGTGTGGATGTTGCGAAGGTGTCACTTCGGCAATCATTGTTCGGGATGCCACGTCATCCCGAATACTTGCAGAGGCAAATTTGGTAGTACGTGAGTCAGCACGTGGCAGAATTCGCGCGTTGCAAGGGTAAAATTTTCACTATAATACATTGCAGTTTCGATTATAAGACACATATGTCTTATCTCGTACACACAAATAGGTGTCGTATAAAAAGGCTAGCCTGTTTATAAGAGACACCCGTATAATAGACAACCCCTGTCTACTATTCAACACTGTCTTATATCCGGGTGATGACGGTAATAGACTCTATTATAATTAGAACACACTGGAAGGAAGCTTCTAGCCTTCAATCTGTCTACCTGTGTATTCTACAAAACCAAAGCCTAGCTTGCTAGCTAGCTATGCAATGCATCAAGCATGACTCTGGGTCAGGGAGAGTTCAGAAATCATCATCAGATGAGGCTTGCTTGTCATCATCATCATCATCTCTTCCCTTAGTCTGTCGTTCTTCCAACTCCTCCTCCTCTAGGGCCTCCTTTCCCTTGCTACCACCGCCCCCCCCCTCGCTTGTTGGTGGTGCTGCCACATTGCCGAATGGGCGGCGCTTCTTGTAGCTGCGCCAGATCTGCACCACCTCATCGTAGTTGGGCTCGTAATCGAGTAGAGACATTGTGATCAGGTCTTCGAGGCGGGCGTCCTTCAAGCTCCCCCGCTGCCACGATTTGATAACGTTCTGGCGCGAGAAGCCGCGCTCACACTCTACTGTGCTCAGCGGCAGCACGGCAACAACCACTGAGAGACGCACCAGATTGGGGTAGCTAGTCGTCCAGTCGCTTGTCTTCAGCATTGCTGTTAGGCCGGCGTGGAAGTTGCGCTCATTCTTCGGTGCACCTGCGAGGACGGGGCAGAAGGCATGCAGCTCCTTGATCGCACGCCGCTTGTCGATCCCTGCCACATAAGGCAGATGGAAGAGTGAGAGGGGATTAGAATGGTGGGCACACTTGTACACCATACAATCATAACATGCAATAAAGCACCTCATGTACAGTATAAATGCCGGAGCGGTAATACCTGGAATGATATAGTCGGTGTCCTGTGCCCTGAATAGCGTCACGAGTGACTCGAGCCACTCGAGGCACTGCCTGTGGCGCTCCGCTCTCCCAAACTCCCACTCGTCAGGCATGAACAGCCGCACTCCCACCAGGGAGTCCAGGTCCTTGAGCCGTTTGCTGAGGTTTCGCACGAGCGTCTCTGCAAACGTGGTGCAGAGATCGACGCAGGCGTCGTGAGTGCCGAGGGTTGGGTAATCCTCGCTCGGGTTCTCGTGCAGCTGGAAGGTGTGTGTTGTCGGCCGACCGTCCGAGTCGACTCCCTGCACCTTCACCTCGGGATTGCCCCCCTCAGGCCCGTGCTTCTTGATGAAGGGGGACATGCGCGCGCTCATCCTGCCTCCGAAGTCGTCACCACAATTGACGTAGCGGGACTCGAGGAATGAGATGGAGCGGCGGATCTGCGCATGGACACTTGCAATGTCCAGCTGTTAGGGGGCGACAGGGAAAACACAGAGGGTGGAAGGAAGGCAAAATCAGTGTAACGCTGCATCTTGTTGAAATGTACATCAAACCATTAACAAGTACTGACCAAAAGCTGAGGACATAATACATGGTTGCTCGTAACCATGCTCACCTCTCGCTGCTGAAATGCTCTGCTCAGCACATTGAGCTGCTCGAGGACGTCTGCAAGGAAGTACAACAAAAAGTGAAACCTGTAGCTCGTGGCAAGCTCGTACAGTGTGTTGTCCCACTCATACAGCATCACGATCAGTGCGGGGAAGTCCTCTACCGTGCGCATAATGGCGTCACCCCTGGAGAGCCAGTGGACATTGTGAATCTCCTGTAGCTCCAGGTTCGTTCTCGTGAAAACTTCTTGCAGCCCCATGAACCTTTGATGCCAAGGGCCAGAACGCCCAAGATGCTCAGCCACTTGGCGGAGCAGCGCATCCACCATCCCGAACTCGGGGAGTGCTTCAGCTGCGTCTTTTGCTGCAAGCGCCTCCCTGCGTACACAACACCAAACAGACCGGCAACTCGAGGCATTAGCACGGGATGCTCCAGATACTCTAGAGATGCGGAAGACACAAGATACAACATACCTGTGTGTGAAACTAACTGAACAGGAATGAATTGACTAAGTCAGAGTTGGGTACAAATACAACCCTAGCAAACTGTACCCCATATGTGCTACCCCACTATAGCCTACAAACATGCATCAGCTATAATAATCTGACACACCCCCATAGGCAAAGTGGGGGAGAACAAGGGGTCACAAGACCAGTAAAGCAAAGCAAAGCAAAGCAAGCTCAGGGTGGATCACAAAGTCACCACACAGTCCGAGCACAAGAGCAGGGCCAGAGGCCAGTTCACATGCAGGAGTACAGACATATATATAAAACTAGACAAGTAGGAGCAGGTATATATATGACAAAGTACAAGTAAAGTCAAGAAGAGAGCAAGTGAGGTAAGACAGGTACAAGACCCAGCTGGGTACAAAAGCGCTGATGGTCACAAGGCGCAAGTGCCTTGGTGAACACATCAGCAGTGTTGGCCTCAGAGGCCACGTAAGCAAGTCGCAACTGACCACGCTGCTGCAGCTCACGAGCAAGGAAGTAGCGGAGAGCAATGTGCTTCGTTCTGTGCTCCAAGCGCTGCTCTCGACACAAGGCCAGCATGGCCTTGTTGTCTACGTACAGCACTGGAGGAGAACGAGGCGGCTCTCCAAGGTCGGTCAGCAGGTAGGTGAGCCAGCGAAGCTCCTGTGCAGCCATGGCCCCGGCGTAGATCTCAGCCTCACAACTGGAGCCGAGAACCGAAGACGAGCGAGTAGACCGCCACGAGACAGAACCGGAACCAAGGCTGAAGGTGTAACCCTGTGACGACCGCTGCGTAGCCTGGTCGTCAGCCCAAGAAGCGTCCGCGTGGCCGGTAAGGACCACTGGACTCCGCCCTCCAAGCACTAGCCCCATGCCCGACGTACTGCACAGGTAGCGCAATACCCTCTTAGCTGCAGCCATGTGCTCCGGTCTGTGTCTCCCAGGAGCAACATAGCGTGCAAGAATGCTCAGAGGGTATGCAAGGTCAGGTCGTGTGCAGGTCATCAGGTACATGAGGCAGCCAACAAGCTCTGCATACGGACCACTCGACTCTACGGACTCATCCGAAGGCAGAGCTGAGAGTGAGTGGCGAGTAGGCAGAGGAGTGGCCTGAGGCGAGGAGTACGTGAAGCCGAAGCGCTGAAGGACCTGCTGCACCATGTGTGACTGAGTCAGGGTAATGGTGCGACGTGCTCTGTCCCGAGTGATCTGCAAGCCAAGGTAGCTGCGCAGTTCACCCAGGTCTGTGCACGTGTGTCTCTTCAGCAGCTCGGACTTCACGTAGGCGAGTCCAGCAGTGTCCGCTGTGGCAAAGACCAAGTCGTCGACGTACACGAGGATGTAGAACGGCGGCAGGGAAGTGTCGGTGCGAAGAAACAGCGACGGGTCAGCAGTAGAAGGAGCAAACCCAAGAGCCGCAAGCGTAGTCCTCAGTGTGTCGTGCCACTCACGCGGTGCCTGGCGGAGACCGTAGACTGGCCGTCGGAGGCTCCACTGGGTGCCAGGAGGGAAAGTCCCAGTGAAGCCAGGCGGACGGCGCAGCCAGATCTCCTCGTGCAGGCTACCCTGCAGGAACGCAGTGCTGAAGTCGAGGGAGTGAAGCTCGTAGTCGCGCTGAGCGGCAATGTGCAGCAGCACCCGAAGAGTGGTCATCTTCGGGGTGGGAGAGAAGGTCTGAAAGTAGTCAACTCCCTGCCGCTGACTGAAGCCACGAGCCACGTAACGCGCCTTGAAGAGAGGCGGGGAGCCCGGCGGCCGCTTCACCCTGAAGATCCACATGCCACTGACGATGTTCGCCCCAGGAGGGGGAACCGCGTCAACGTAGGTGCCCGTGGACTTCCAGGAAGCCATCTCTGCATCCATAGCTGCCTGCCACTGAGAGGAGTAGGGACCCTCTACGGCCTCCGCGTAAGAACGCGGAGTCGGGATGTCTAGTGCATCCGGGTCTCCCTCAGGGGCAAGCAGTACAGACGCGAGATGAGGTGAAGCAGCCGCTAGACACTGTAACTCCTCCTGCCTGTCCTCTAGGACGTCCGTGCCAAGGGCACACTCACCCCCGACGGACGGAGGACAGGCGGACTCAGACTCAGCGACAAGACGAGCAGCGTAGTCTAGACGATAGCGCGCAGCAAAGTCGACAAGCTCAGTGACAAGGGCAGACGCAGCAGACGACTCAAAGGAAGGGTCAGTGACTGCAGTAGCAAGGAGACGCGTGACAGTAGGACTGGCAGCACGAAGAGAGTCCGACTCCGGGTCGGCAAGAGCAGGAAGAGAGGAAGCAGGAGGAGAAGGCAAAGGGGCACGCAGAGGAGCAGTGGACGGACGCAGTGACATCCGGTGCGTGCCAGGGACAGGAGGAGGACGCTGACGCGACCCGC